GTGTGTGTGTGTGTGTGTGTGTGTGTGTGTGTGTGTGTGTGTGTGTGTGTGTGTGTGAGAAACACATACCGATGCGACACCTTCATGGTCTCTCCTCTGCTTCTCCTGTCCTGGTTCAGAGACGCACACAGCAGCAGGAACAGCTGAGCATTCGCTACAAAGAAATGATCAAGGTTCAGACACCGCCCAATAGAGGGGAGCAGGTTAGCGATGCTGGCCTGGTAGTCCTCCGACAACTTTCACATCCCATTAAGTCCAGATTCACCCCCCCCAGAGACCAGATAAAGTGCAGCGTAACAGAATGGGTAGTCTCCTTCCATGATGTGTGCCTTCCCCCTTTCTTCTCATTGCCTTGTCAGCACTTTGCTTTGACCTGAGAGCTCCAGTTTAAGTCTCCCTGCTGTGCTTCTGCCCTCACTCTGGAAGTAGATATAATTAAGATGCTAACCCAACTCCTCGGTGTGTGTCGATATGTTGCTTACTGATCATTACGATTCCCATACTACATACCAATCCTCAGTAGAAGACCTGCAGTAGCCAGCTGGTTGTCATCCTGCTTTACTGTTCTCTCATGCAAATAATCAGAGTCAGCACAGTGAAGTGCCAGCAGCGGTTTTCCCCCGCTGATGCTTAGAAAGTAGTCTTTTTTTTTTTTATTTTTCTTGTCTTGTCACTAGATTAAGCATTCCCCTCACAGAGATGGATTTAAACTCCAATCTCCCCTCTTTAAAGGGATTTAATTTACTGCTCTTCTTAAATGTCCTCAAACTGCACAGTCAGTCTCTAGCTGCAAAGTGAATTAAATCCAGCCTATTGTAAAGACTGGAAATAATCTTGATAATCCTAAACACTTCTCCACACAATCTGTTTAGGATATAGCTTTTTTTTTTAAAGCCACTCTTATATTCATGTAGTCATTTTTATATTCATGTAGTCATTTTTTTTTAAATGTAAAAGTTTGAAAATGCTTTTCCTGAAGTTTCACAAGGCCTTGTTTTTGTGGTTTTCTTGCTCCCCTTTTCGGTGCTTTAATTTATGTTTTGGTACCAACATAAGAGACCTTAAAATATATATCAAGGTTAATTACACAACCAGTGAATTATTTCCCCTTTTGATCATTGGACTGTATTTATAAACGGTTTTATTGTTCCCATATACACTTTGTGGGTGGTCTGTTTTTAAAGGTCATGAGTATGGAAACGTGTGTGCCGGTGTGTCGGTGCTTGTAGTGTAAGTGAACCCAAGCAAGTGAAGTGGTACCCCTCACTAACTCTATTGACCAAATTTTGTGCTGATGTAAATATCTTGAACTATAACTTTTACCTTTTTGTTTTGCAAGGTTTTCAAAGCATTGGTATTCATTATCAGGCTACGAACTAGGAGTATGAAGCCTATTTACTCTTAGCAATATCCTTCTCATCATCACTCTCATCATCTTCTGCTGAATCTGCTGTTCCTGTCCCTCATCTCTCAAGGCCAGAAGTGGTGCAGAGCAAGTGTCCATCTCGGGCTCTCGGAGCTGCCCAAAGAAAACCATTCTGCTCCCTTCTTCCTCCTCCACTTCTTCGCTCTCTCTGCACTCAGAGGTGACACGGGGTCTGCTGTATCTGTCCGTCTCTGTGTGTGTCTATGTCTGCCACAAATCCATGGCAAAACCATCTCTTGGCCCCCTCACCACCTCCCCCACACTCCCTTTTTTTTTTGTTCTGTGAAAGCATCCTCTAATTATGTCTGCTGTACCTCAGATTTGGCCTCTGCAGTATGTGGTAGGAATAAAAACACAAAGCGCTGCATTTCTCCAAATGAACTATAGAGGTTACAGTCTTCTTTACTTCCCTGGACCCTGTGAGTGGTGTGTGTCATTATCAAGAGTAGCTGCTTGTTTTCATGCTGTTTGGATGTGACAGCTTGTGAATACATGTAAGACTCCGGGGATCTCGGGTTATTTTTTACTTATTGTCGGGCACTGTCAAGAGATGTTTGCGTAACAAGCTGATCTCTAACACAACAGCTCCTTTTGTTACAATCTGTTTATGCTCGATGCGAACCAAAGTGTTAATACAGTACGTGTGTCTGCTCATTTCTGCCTTCAAGCTTTTGCGTAAAAGTCCGGAGGAAGAGGAGCTCGAATACTACGAGATGCCTCTGAAATACGGGGTAGAGTAAACGAGTGATTGCATGGATACGTGTTCACTGCTGTTGTTTGTGGTTGGCATTTCTTAATGAATTAATGGTTTGGTAGCTGTAAACGGACTTCTTTATGGAACAAATCGGGCTTTCCTTCATGTAAAAATGGAGCTGTTAAAAGCATGAGCCCTTTAGCTACACCCACATCATCATCAAGTCTCAATAGAGCTTCCTTGGCAGGAGTGGAAGCCGTCGCACCCGACAGAGCCGAGACCCATTCACATACCTGGTATACAGGAGAGGGCTGACCGCCTAATCTCCAGGTTTAAGGGCAAACCTGACAAGCCACCAAAGGTGAACACCATGCATGGACATTTTATGAAAACATGGATTCCAATATTCTGACTTTTTATTGGTTACATCTCTTAACCTGCACTGTTTGTAAAGGAGATGCAATTTGTGTACTTATGCACATCTGTCTAAGTCTAATTCCCTCTTTCAACTATTCCTCTTTTCCCCCATGGAGCCTAAGAAAAAGCCGTCCCGTTTCTCTTTAGAGCAGTGGCACGTGTCCCGGGACCTGACTGAGAGTCCTGGGTCACTACTGTCCTCTCCTGACTCTTCCAGAAAGGTTAGGTGTTGGTGCCGTGGACCGATGCTCATAACACATCACTCTAAGTAACCTCTTATGGACGTTTCTACTTTTGAGAACAACGCCTTACTTTACTCTCAAGCTTGCTCAGTCCGTGTTTATCTCAAGTGTTAGTTCTGCTAGATAGCCTCACTTAGTGCGTTGCGTTGCTTTCATCATTTACCCTCACAGGCCTAAATTACTGCTTGAATTAAAGGCTGACAACTGGAACTATGAAAACAATGTCTTCCAAACCATCTGTGGTTATTACCGCAATGACAAGCTTTTTGAAAAGGAGATTGTTTTTGGAAACTACTAAAAAGGGAAAGAAGAATTCCATTTTAAAGCTTTGAACATCCCTTTTGTGATTGAATCATCTATTTCTCTGCAGGAGCCAGCAAGGCCTCTGCACTCTCACGATGAAATGCCCTTATATGTGCTTAGTATTCAGGAGAGGGGTGAGCTACTTGCCTCACAGTTTGAGGGCAAGCCAGCCGGACCACAGGTGAAAATCCCCCAATTAACACAGACATCTGATTGATAGTCTAATGTTCATACATCTTGATAAAGGAGCACATTATTTTTGGGAGACATGCCCTGTTGGTCCAAAAGCAGCCATGTATCCCAGTAGAATGTTGATGCTGCTACACTAGTCAATACTCATTATTGGGCTGAACTAGTGATAGTATAAGGGCAGCATGTTGATATAGTTCCTGAATATACAACAGTGGGGTTAATATGACATTTCATATGTAAACTGTATGAAAGGACAGTTTGTAAAAACATATGAAAAATAAGAAATCTCAACAGCGCTAGCTTAGCTGCTTTTCATTACATAGCAATATATGCTAACGCATTAGCACAGAACACAAGAGGGAATGACTTGACAGCTAAAATACACAACTTTTGATGTTTAAATCAATTTAAAGTGATTTTATTTGCCATTGGCAAAGATGCCCAGAAAGTAATAGTACTTAAAAATTAAAGATCATCGAGGTTACATTAATTAGAAATAGCTAAACTCTGCAATGTATGCTAGCGTGTTAGCATAGAACCCCCTGAGGTGATGAAGCTGACCAAAAGGCTGCTCTCCAAACACAATTTAACAGTTTGATTTCAGAAAATGGTGTGAAACTGTTCTTATTAGGTTTCTTAATTGTCGAATTACTATTTTGAAACTACTCTCTTGTCTCTCTCGTTTTTTTTGTGGAGCCTAAGAAAAAGCCCTCACGTTTCATTATGGAACAATGGCGGCTGGCCCGAGCCCAGTCCCCCCCTGGTTCTCCCCCCTCCACCTCCGACACCTTGAGACAGGTAGTCGCTTCACGTCTGGAATGTGGTGACGCTAACACACTGCCCTTGGTCTTTCATGAAGCTGCATCATCTCACTTAACTACACGTGTTGCTTAACATGACTTAAGCTCACTTGAGGCTTGATTTAAAAGCTGTCTGCCTGTTGTGAAATATCAAAAAACTAATTTGCAACCTGGTAATTGTTCTCTGTTGTTGTGATTTGTATGTGGGGGAGAAATCTCTTCTTGTGACTGTGACTATCTGGACAGATGTCAAAAATATTCTCCGCTGGCACGCGCTTGAACTTAATTATAATTCCCACAGCTATTTTGCCAACGGAGTCTCTAGTAGTTGTTCTTGGATTTGGAAGAGCAGCTTGGCTGCAAAACAAAAAAAAAAAAATCTCATCTCGTATAATTCCCATGTTGACAAGCACAGTTCCAATTGTGGCAGGGAAACAACTTTGCAATGCAGTGGGACTGTAAAGCGTCCTCCAATCTCATCCACAGTGATAGTTTGCATGGCTTACGATTGCCTCATACAAACTGACCTCAATTCTTCCCCTATAGGGGATGCATAGCTTTTTGGAGTTTTTATATCTTAATCCTGTAATAGATTAATTCAGGATTTAAACTGATGACGGGTAATAACCAACCAGTTGAATGGTCCCTTCAACATTTTCTTTTGTTCATATATATTCCTCGATTGCTAATGCAACAGTGCAGTGTGAGTGCCTCTGTGTGCGTGCATGGGAATGACAAACGCATGACAGCTATACTCAAGTGTGCAAACGTGCACAGTGGTCTTCATAGATGTTACAGAAGCACAGGTCCACTAAGTTGCGCCACCGTCTTTTGAAATGCGGTAATGATCTCTCTCTCTCTTTTTTTTTTTTTTTTTTTCTGATGTCCCAAATCCAATAATGCTCTGTGTTGGCAAATAAAAGCGCAGTGAGTCTCGGCTATTGGAGCGATGTTTGGTTTTGTGGTTAGGCTGCCGGCACATCTAAACGCTTGATCAATCAAGCATGAAAACATTGCTTTGTCACGTCTAAATATCCTGTCAGACACTGTTGTTTGTGAACGTCTTCTGTGTTTAAGCTCTCCTCTTCCCACTTCTACCATCTCTCTCATTATCTTTCTTTTTTTCCGCCATCATTTTCTAATGTTTGTCCACCTGTATTTCCTTTTCCTCCCCTTATGCTGTTGATAGCGCTATGTAAGGAGGTACACAGGCGGAGTTAGCTCATTGGCTGAGCAGATAGCCAATCAGCTTCAATCTCAGGGAGACCCTAAGCCTTTACGTGAAAAGACGGATATGGTAAGCATGCTGCCCCCGGTGGTAGAAGGCATGTGGCGGCGTAGATCACGAGTGTCGATCAGCGTCTTCTTTCAGACACTGATATGTTGTCCATACATTGAAGTGTTAGTTTTCTTTCACAGTTCAACATTAACCCATCTCCCTGTAGCCGTAGTGTGTGTGTTTGCTCCACAAGTAACTGCTGTTTGGGATACTGTTGTGTTCGTAGATCATTTTCATAATGATAAGAGATCCCCATTCCTACTGACAAATAACCATTGACTTGCTCTGTTGTGGTCTTGTCCTCGGGTTATAGAATAGCTCAATACCCAGCAGCGGCCTGGTGTGTGATGTCCGTTAAATCTTTGATGTATTTAAGCCTCTCCTCTCCTCCCTAAAAACTGATCAATGCGTTATCCTTCCGCAGGGCTCACTCAGAAAAGAGTTCCCCGTCAACATCGGTGGCAGCGATGTGTGCTTCTTCTGCCGAAAGCGCGTGTACGTGATGGAGAGGCTGAGCGCAGAGGGGAAGTTCTTCCATCGCAGCTGCTTCAAGTGTGAATACTGTAGCACCACACTACGACTGTCCTCCTACGCCTTCGATGTGGAAGACGGTGAGACTGCTGTTTTTTTTTCTCTTATCTTTGTGATTGTTCATTTTTCGTAAAGTTCCTGATAACCAAACTTGTCACAACAGCAGAATTAAAAACAAAACAATCTGAGCAAAAAACAAATGCATGCTCAGTTGATTTCTTTTTTTAAGCCACTTTCCGTACAATCTGAACATGTGAGACTCTGGCGCTCTCCAGTGGTTCTATCAGAAAAAGAGATCATTGCAGATGGACAATGCACGCCACTATCGCTCCCCCCGTCTCAGTCGAGGATCAAACAGTTGACCCTGCGGTTACCAGACAACCCTCTTAAGTCAGTGAGCCACGGTCGCCCCGTAGACTTAAGCTTACATTATGTTACATTACATTACATTGACCTCAGAGCCAAGTCCGGTCTTGTTTTTTCCTCTCGGGGAGGTGCTGAAGGACAGGCAGCAGATTGTTTATTGAGACAGAGAAGCTGTTTTTCAGAGTCAGCCGTGGGACTTAAACCCACTGACGGTCTGAGCTGAGACAGACGGGAAGATCTTTTTTTCAAAATGACAAACACACAGTGTACTTCTGCCGAAGAGATGAAGACTATGGACTCTGCGGGGTGAAATTTGCAGAATGTGCATTGCTTATATTTATTTTTGTATTGAATTAATTTGCTTATGTTGCTACGTGTCTCCTTTATCCAACAGGGAAATTTTACTGCAAGCCCCACTACTGCTACCGTCTGTCTGGCTACGCTCAGAGAAAGAGGCCTGCTCCCTCCCCGACTCCAGTCACTGCTAAGGTACCGTTTCTGTTTACTAGTTCAAATCCCGCTGGAAATCGGGATTCACTGGCACAATAATTAGGAAAGAAATTGTTTTGTTTGTCTTCGAAATGCACTGCTGAGGCATAGGTGCACAAGAGCTAACGGCAGAGTAGTGGCTGAGTCGGGGGACTTTGCTGTGTTTTGACGTCGTCCGTCTTTGCAGGAGAACCAGGCGCCCCAAACTCCTACGGCGACCGTGGACGCCCCCGGCAGGGCGATGGCTGCTGCAGCGCCCTCGGCCGAGCTCCAGCCCTCAGGTACCCGACTTTCCTCTCTTGCTGTGGTGGCTGCGCCCTACCATCTGGTCAAGGGAGCGGGAGTCCGGCTGCGTACCCTCCGCCGCACGCTCTCCTGGACCTGCCACCAGGTGGCACGCAACCCCCTAGACTCTCCCTTTCTGTGTACCTACTGCATCTACCTCTTCTGCTGTTTCTCCATCAACGTCCTGCTCAACCTCTTCTAGCATGACTCTCTTGTCCCTCCTTTCCTTCCTTCCTTACTTCCTTTGCCAACTAATGGGATTGTGTAGATTTAGCTGACTGTATTGTCTCACTGAGCCTGAGGGCCTGTTCATGTAAATCTTGAGATTCCTCGTCTCCGTGATTGATTTTTACCTCGTGAAGATGCATCATTCTTTCTGTCTCAGACGTTTTATGACTCGGGATTGGTCGAGGCTGTTAAACAGCCCTCTGGCAGCTTGATTTTAGAAATGAATGGTGCATCTTACATTTATTTATTTTTCTTGGTTTGGTAATTAAAAAAAGAGTTGGTCAGACTTCCTTCTGGTCAGCTCTCCAGGCAGCAATATTCGCTATTTGTAACTCTCTTCCCGTGCTGATTTTACTATCAGATCTGGCAGTAATGTGCCAGCTGTTTCTAAAACCTACAACTAGCGATACGTTCTTATAATCTAAGTTAATTACATGGACACGTTTTTGCCTGCTGGTGTTTTAATGAAGAGCCAAGCTTCGTTCTGTTGTGATTGTAGCCTACGGTGGCCTGTGACCGCTTTCTTTTAGCTCTACCTCCTCCTGTGTGACGTGTTTCTTTTTAGAGCCTGCTTTGTGATGTGTTTCTTTCTCTGTAAGCTGTTTTGCACCTCCAGTATCCCTTTTTACTAAAACTCTCCCTACTGTGATGAAGTGCCTGTATCAGTGCTTTTGTGAGCTTTACCTTTCCCCCTCCTATCAGAGCAGCTTAAAACTGAGAGCTCGACTAGTGCTTGAATTAGTGCCTGTGATTGGTTCTCTTGTGATTTTCACTCCCCTGTCCGACCTTCCTGGCTGCCCTGTCCTCCTGCATCCCTCGGCCTCTCACCCTCGACCGATTGCTCCTAAGACCTTCTTGGGTCTGCTTAATATAGTGCGTCTTTACGACGTTAATCGGATTGCATATAATTAAGTATAATACAACAAAACTGGAAAGAGCTGAACTGAACCGGCTGGTAAGATTAACAGAAAAAGAACAGTATGAATGTAAGTAGGTTACGTGTAGTCCTGCTGCATTGTGTGGCAAGTGTAGTACTATACATTTAAATAGTTTACTGATACTATAAAGATATGCGACATTCATTTTAGCCAAAATGTTGTGTTTAAAATCATGTCATATTGTTTGGATGAAGTTTATCCCTCTAGACTACACTTATTTTCCAGTATTCCTAATGTTTTATTAATTCCCTTAATGGCGTTAATAATATTCATTATTTTAAATATTTAAGGTACATATGTAGATATTGGAAAGCCCCAAAAGGTGCATAAAGCATTTGGAAAGTCGTGGGTTGCTTGGTTTGGTTTTAGTAGAAAGGTGACCCATGAAAGTGAAATTATTTCGGGGACTTCTCTTCACAGCTGTTTTGCGTGTTCCGGCATGCTGCCTTATTTACAGGGAAATAAATAGAAAACCATTGCAGCTGTTTGACCACATTCCTTGTCTCCACAGAATAACATGTGCTACCGGGTCAAATATCACACATTCACTCTCACACCTGTTCCTTTTCAAGTGGGACTTACATGGGGTCGTTGGGAGCAATTTAAGTAAATGGAGGGACGAAAAGTTTAGTATCATGTGAAAAATACTTATTTTGATCCATTTCATTCATATCCAAGTAAATTCGACAGACAAATTTAGGCCAATAAAAATGCAGTTTTAAGATTTGCTTCTCAGGATGGGAAAAAGGCAAGGCACCCATCTGGTACTCTCAACTGTAGTATGATACAATAATTTTATAATGTTAAACTTATGTGTGTGTGTTGATAATATTTGCTGTAGGAGTATCATCTATTGCAATAAATTCAGTTGTAGATCTTCAATTGGTGTGTCCTTGTCAGTTTGTTCTTAAAATAGAAAGGTTGGTTTAGTGGGTAAAGGGGGACAAAGTAATGTGTATGAGAATGCACTACTTACATTGTTGGATGTGTGACGGATTTAATGCTACTAGGCTGTTATGTTCACATAATCACAGGAATTATCACAAAAAGTGTCTCAGTGGATCTGTTTTGGTCCAGTTTATTTACACAGACTGATGAATAGCTTTCAGTCAGCCCTGCATGGCTCCTGCACTGCAGAGGTGTTCTCCTCTGCTCTGCTCTCCACTGTTGCACCTACATGATTCTCAGTTGCCTTTTTTTTTTTTGTGCTCTCTTCCCTCTCTGCTCCTCTTACCTCCAACCTGCCGCCCACCCCGATGTCACCTCCACCTTTACGCCCGATGGACAACCCCCAGTACCGGTGGTCAACGGACTGCAGGAGCCCAGCCTAGCTAAACGTCTGCGGGGAACTCCAGAGCGCATCGAGTTGGAGAACTACCGTCTGTCCCTGCAGAGGGAGGAGGAGCTCGAGGAGGTGCCAGAGGAGACTCTGGCAGAACACAACCTCAGCAGTGTGCTGGACAAGGCCACAAACGCCGACCTGGGCTCCAGGTAAGAGCATAAAAACAACTGAGATGTGCACTTTTTAAATGGCGCTGTTGTTGAATGCTGAGATTTCTAATTTGCTGAAATTTTGATATTGATTGTTGCAGCTGATCCTTTGATGGATTGTCTCTAGTTGGTCATTATTCCTGTGTGCGTTTCTTTAAACGAGGTATCAAGTTTAGTGACAAACTAACATTCAGTGATATAAATAAGTCCATTTAGCACCTGAAAGGTTTGCAGGTGAACTTATGGAATAATCCAGCCTGAGAGCTAAATACCATACACGTACTGTACAATTAGTTGAAGGTCATGCCGTCAGTGACCCTGCGTCTTGTTTGTTTTTGCCTCCCACTTGTTCTAACACTTTACTGGGACTCCTCTGTTTTCCAACAGTAGCTCAGAGTCAGACATGGAGGAGGAGGACGAGCAGGAGGATCAGGATCTGGAGGAGGGGGAACAGCAGCCTCTCAGCCCTTCGGACCTGGGCGGTGTTCCCTGGAGGGAGGCGGTGGAGCTCCACGCCAAGCTGAGAGGCGACGAGGGGGAGGCTCTGGCCGATGCCGTCAGCAGAGACGGGGAAGTAGACGAAGACGATGAAGAGTACGAGGAGGACGATGAGGACGAAGAGGATGAGGAGTCAAGTGATGGTAAATTCGTTTTTTGGCTCTTGGGGTGCGAGTTCAAGACGGTCCCTGTAAAGAATGGAAATGTAGTTTGTTTCCTTTGGTGTTATGTTAATACCCTGTCCAAACGCCACTTGCTTTTATTCCAAATCTGTTTCATGTGAAGTGTCAATCTCTCAAACATTGCTCTCCTCATCCGTTCTGCCTTCCTTCCCCCCCGCCCCCCTCCTATGTCCACTGTGTTTGTGTGCCTGCATGAATGTGTGTATCTGTCTTTTGTTTTGTTTCTGTTGGGCCTCTGTCTCCCCCTGCTGGCAGAGGGGGACTACTGCCCATGGGACAGAGAGCTCCAGTCAGGCCTTTGGCTGGAGAAGCACCTCACAGACGAAGACGATGTTGGTACATTCAAAGGTAGCAGCACAACGGCCTGTGGATGCGTTTGCAGTGTCTATGAGCGTGAAATATAATCCTGGCTGCCGTGGGTTTTCATTTTTAAAGGATTTCTACAATAAGTGTGCGGCTTTTTGTTGTCTTGTGTTTTTCGGTTTGTTGTTTGCAGTTGTGTTTTTAACAAAGATTTTGTGTTCAAAGGTGGGTCTCTTTGATGTGAGCCATTTTAAGCTGCCATTGACCTGTTTAATCCCTCAGTTTTTGTAAATGGCTTCAATACACTAATCGGAGAGATTCTTGTTTCCCCCCCGTAGGCGCTGCAGCTATGTTTTGGCATTGAGTGGCAGGATTGTTGTTTTCAACATGTGGATATTATTTCTTTCTTTAACCTCATATCTTTGAAGTTTATGGTTTGATTTTTGATTTGTTTGCAGTCGAGTGCATGCAGCCTCCCTCTACTCGGCCTCTCTGATGATTGATTTTATTGCCACTGTATTCTAACTGTCTCTCTGCCTTTTCTCCTTCATTTTTGTCCTGACCCTCCTCTCTCGTTCATCTACTCCTGCCTTTACGGCACACCTGCCTTCCTCTCTCTTTATCTGTCTCTTGATTTCTTGGACCAAACACAACTTCACCACAACACCATAAACACAACACTCCACCGTATGCTGACACCCTCATTTAGCCAGGAACCTACTGATCCAACAAGTCCTGCAGCCGGTGGATCCCCAGGCCATTCCAGGTTTGGTGAGAACCCACCTGGACTCTGAGGGAGACAAGGAGGGCCAGCTGGCCTCAGCCTCCCAACTCTCCCAGCCCTCCTCCACAGGTAACCCACCCAGAGGAGCTGAACACCTGGGAAGGTTTTGCTGGGCGAGTCCAAGGCTTTAGGCCTTACAGGGCTACGGTTCAGGGTGTCTTGTTTCACCAGTGTGGCTGCTGCTGTTCTGTTTCGTACGTCTGTGTCTGCGACAGGAGGAGCCACCTCCCCCAACTAACTCACCTGTCGTTCATAATCATCTCTGATTTTGTACATTTTTGTCATTTTTTTGTCTTTTGTTTTTTTCTTGGAATGTCTTATTTTGTGTTCAATCTTTTCATTTGTCGTTCCGAGTTGCTGCGGTGAATGAAATGTTTAACCACATCCCAGTGCACCGCATAACCCCCTTGTCAGTTCCTTTTTGATTTAGTTCCGCTTTGTTCTTTTGTGTTGTGCTGTGTTCTGTCCCCACGTGTCTAATTACTTTACTGTTATTTCCCTGCCATCTATCCCTCGTTGTTCTGTATCATCTGGTTTGAACGTAGCCCCCGCCCACACATCCGCCCGACACGAGGCAGTGAGAGTCTGGTTGGAGTCCATGTCTGGAGGTAGCACAGACTTATAAGGGATCGTGACATCCCACCTTAGACTCGCTCTCTTATCTGTCTGGCCTTTTCCAGGAGCATGCAGAAAACACGCTCCGACGCCAGTAAACTCACAAGCTTGCATGCTGCAAGGCTGTCGCACTCGAGAGCTCTGCGCTCTTTGGGTCTCGTTTCCCTACCCAACCTCTTATCCTACCCCAACTTCCAAAACATGTATTTTCTCTTCACTCTGTACAGTAATGAAATGTACTCCAGAGACAGATGAGCCATCAATGTGTGAAGTATTACTGTAGCTATTTTTATTTTTTGACTAACCCATAAAAGGCACTTGTACTCGCACAGAGTTCAGATATTGAGGCCGTTGAGGTATTTTATCAATGTTTTAATCACTTGTCTGACTGCAATGAGAGTCCTACACACACATTTGGATTCATAGGCAACACTTATATTCTAGGTCAAAAGCTTAGTAACAATCCTTGTGCTCAGACCCACTAGACTTAGACGTTCGTTCAGGATTTGCCTGTGCACCCACATGGACAAAAGCCTGTCTACTGTGATGGTTAATGTAATATTATTCAGAAACTGAATAGATTGGTTTCAGCTTTTGTTAGAAACAAAGTCTCTCCCATCAAATTGTGTTTAAACGAGGGATTATTGCTCGTCACTTAACCAATGTCATTAACGTTTTGCTTTTGCTTGGTTTAAATGTCATCCAGTTGCTCATTTAACAATGCATAGCTGCACGTGTCTATTACTAATGCTGCTCTGAGCCAAAACCTTTCTTCATATTTATTGACTGATTTGTAGGATTTCATTTGTACGCAAAACTAACATATGATTTTCTTGCCAGAGAACTTTCCTCAAAAGCTGTCTTCCGAAAAAAAACGATGGATTTTGGTTTTGAAGCCTTTTCATCCTTTTTCAATCTTTAATTTTTTTTCCTATAACTGCGCTCCACTCTTCAAAACTGGTTTTGCTAGATTTTTTTTTTATTAAGCAGTCTTTGAACTCTGGTGCTCTTCTTTTTAACATTTTGCCTAAAGGAGAATTTTGCAAAAAGAGTTCAGTGATGGTTAAGAAGTTGAAAAAGGTTCCTGCTTTGTTATTGTCTGTAGAGAATGTGTCACCCAGATGACTCTTGCCATTTCATTGTCCTGTCAGAGCCCGGTGAGGATGACGATTTGGAAGCGGAAGCAGACAGTCCAGATGTTGAGCCCGGCACCGAGATGGATGAGGGTGAGCGGTCGTTCAAATAATAATGTGACAATTCAATCGCAACATTTTTGGTTCACAAAGAACTCTATTATGATAAAAGAATGTGAATTATTGACAATTTAATATTTCATAACGTTGTGTCTGAATTCTAGATGACATCCCTTCAGATGCAGAAGCTGAGGCTCGTTTGCACCAGTCGGAGCGTGAAGTGCTCCCCGAGGAAGACAGGAAATCACAAAGTCTGAAAATGGCCTCCAGTATTGGTACGTGTCCCTAATAATTCATCTAAATTGATCCCTCAGAAATATTTTTACATGAATTAAAAAAAAAAACAGTCACCATTTTTTGTTATCATTCCATTCAGAGCCATCCAGCGTCAGCCCCGTGCAGAAAGAAGAGTTTTTTCTTTCCTCACTCAAACCGTCTCCAGAGCCTGAACCACAGGTAAGACAATTCCACACCTCAAGTGGAAGGTGTGTGATGTTAGTTATGACTAAATCCTGATCTTCTCTGTTGCTTTTCCAGATAACGCCGGTGAAGTCTCCTGGCACACGCTTTTTCCCAGAACCGTTCATACCCGAGGAAAGGAAGACTGAGGGCTCAACTCCTTCTCTAGCCGCCAAGAGCCCACTGTGCCCTTCACCTGCTCCAGTCCAGCATCCTTCCTCTGTCCCTTCTCCTACTGCTTCCCCTGTCAACCTCCCTGCCTCATCTCCCCTAAGTTCACTCACCAAATCACCCATCAACTCTCCAGTCGTCGAGTCACCGGTCAGATCGCCCATCGGACCCTCAGACAAGTCACCCGCTGGCTCCCCGATCCGCTCTCAGCCCACCCCCCTACCAGAGACTTGCACACCTAAATCTCCTGTCTACCCTCACCGCTCTATTTGCCCTCTCACGGGCAACCCCCTCTCCCCAATCTGTGCTCAGCCATTGCCCTGCCAGGAACCCTCGTCGCCCCTCACCTCCGACTCTCCCGTCAGAACTCAGCCCATCCCCGGCGTCACTTCGACGCCCGTGACCAAAACAGACCGGGGCACGCCTGAAGCCTCGAAGTCCATAAATTCCTCGACAGAGGAAACTCCATCTAAAAAGACCGATATCATTGAGGAGTTTTGGTTGAAGAGTGCCGAGATCAGGAAGAGCCTCGGTCTGACTCCTTTGGACCGCAGTAGTAAAATCCTGGAGAAGAGTGTCGTTATTGCTCCAGCGCAGGACTCCACCCCCGTCACGACTCGGTCTCCAGATGTGCCAGAGGAGCAGAAGCCTGCTTTCACTGGCCGAGCTGTCATCCGCAGACTCAACATCACTCTTGAAGGTCAGGTCATCACCCCCATTGCTCCTGCGGAGCCCAAGAGTAACGGCTCTGATAGGAGGGACCTCAGCAGCAGCTCTGGTTTGGGGCTGAATGGGAGCATGGCCACGAGCCAGACGGCAAACAGTGACGGCTACAACACGTCCGACTCCGTCATGCTCACCCCGCCCTCCAGCCCGCCACCACCTGTGCCTGCTAATCAGTCTCCAGCCGTGTTCAGGCAGCAGAGACATCAGGTGTGCTGGAGCAACGGAACAGAAATACCTCCATCCGAGCGTGCCAAAGAGCCGGCAAAAACCAAGAGTCCTGTTCCCGCACCGAGGACCCAGCTGAGCCCCGTGTCTGCACCAAAACCCGTGCCCAGGAAGGTCCAATCGCCTCAGGCAGCTCCAGAAACGACTCCAGTGGTCGTCATGAGGGAGAAGAAGAAGCCACGGCCGCAGGAAGTGAGGAAGTCGTTCGTGGAGACGGTGGAGGAGATTCCGTTTGCCGATGACGTGGAGGAGTCCTATGACGAGCGGACGCCAGAAACGAGCATGAACAGGTACTATACTCCACCCACCAGCAAGTCCAGCAGGGAAAGACCTCCGCTGCATCTGGCTCTAGCAATGGAAAACGGTAAACCCAATATCCCTGTCAACCAAGCCCTAAAGAACCAGAGGGCAACTCAATTCTCCCCAGAGGCCAAGGAGATCGCAGAGGAGAGGATGAAGGCCAGAGAAAAGTCCGTTAAGAGCCAGGCTTTGAAAGACGCCATGGCCAAGCAGCTAAATAAAATGAAAGAGTCTGAAATAGACAAGGGTGCCTCACCTAAAGCGGCCTGGAGCGTAACCCCAGATGTTGCCGGAAAAAGTAAAAAGTCCGGCGGATCTCCAAAGACGTCAGCCGTGAAAGCTCTGGAGTCGAAGAAGGCAGAGACTTTACCCGAGCGTTTCTTCAGCAGCAACAAGAGTCTGGACAGCTCGGTGGCTTCGTCGGACGGCTCCTCCGCGAGTAAGAGCAAGAAACGAAGTTCACTCTTCTCGCCGCGCAAGAATAAGAAGGAGAAAAAAGCCAAGAACGACAGCAGCAGGCCCTCCGGCACAGACGAGACCCCGCCCAAACACAAGTCACTGTGGAAGGCTGTCTTCTCGGGGTACAAGAAGGACAAAAAGAAGAAGGAAGATAAATCTTGTCCGAGCACGCCATCCTCCAGCTCCACCACTCAGGACTCTGGGAAGAAGAAAACGTCTCCTATTGGGAGATCATCGGGTAAGAAAGGCGATCCAGAGCAGTTTTTGAACGTGATACTTGTTTGTAGTATTTCTAGAAAACAAAAAAAAAACCTGTTTCCTTGTTACAGACTTGAAATCACGCAGAAACTTGAGCTTCTCCGAGGAGTCAGACCTGTCCTGTGATGATGTTCTGGAGAGGTCCTCCCAGAAGTCAAAGGCAGATGTGAGTAATAATAGACGCAGTAAAATATGTCGCATCTTCATCACGAGGTATTGAGACACGTATAGCCATCTGCTGACAATCAGTGGAGAACAGCTGCTCAGAGCCAGGCAGCAAACTCCAGGCAGTGGTCTAAACGAGGATGTGACTCACCACCACCACCACCATCGGTTCTTGTTGTTGTAGATATCCAGACCTTGGTGAATGAAACGGCATTTGTGGCTTAGGAAAGGATGCAATAGATGTGACGTCTATCCTCGCTGTTTAACACTTGCTTTGAAAACCGTTTTTCTTGAAATGATTTCTTCCCCTGCCAGCAGCACGTGGACATCTTTGACCTTGTATCAGACCTACAGAAGGAAGCGATTAAAGAGGAGAAACTGGAGAAGGAGAGAAGGAGGGAGTTAAAGGAAAGAAAGAGGTTGAAAGAGAGTCACAATAAAAGAGAGCGGGAAAAAGAGGTTGATCGAGAAAAGGAGAAAGACAATGAGGAGGTATTGTGCAGAAAGGGGTTGAATGAGTTTGAATTTCATCTAAACATAATTTTGTAAAGAGGCAAATGTATAAATTATATTTTAAAACGTTAAGTACACAAAGCTTGCTTCTGGCTTTCAAACCGACCTCAAATCAAATCCATTTGCATTTATTATGTTGTGACTGAAATTCAAAATGATTTTGTGTGTGTGTGTGTGTGTGTGTTTCTGTAGATTTAGGTACAGTCGAGTTCAGGGCCAGAGGCATGAATTCATTAACCATTGTAAACACATTTTTTTTTAAACTCAAACACACTCCCACTTTGTTTTTCTTCATTTTTACTACCCATATGAAGAATTGACATTTTGTTATTTTTCAATAATGGTGATCTGAATTTGGACCTTATACAGCTCCAGTAACAGGAGGTTAAAGCTGCTTCATGCCTTCATGCGCAATCTAATAAGAGCCCAGAGGAACCCAGTAGACTAGTCTCTAGTGACTGTTGTGGTGTTCATAGTTCTCTAGATCAGACTGTATTCGATATATTGCCGTAGAGATTATTGTAGACTGAAAATAACAGACTGTCTATCTGCTTTATGGTAAAATCCTTGGTGTTAGAATCTGAATCTGAATCATGTTTTGTAATTTGTTTTGTTCGACTCATTTCTGATTAACACAGATGTATAAAATGTCGCTGCACCATGTCATTTTGTTGTGTTGGTGTGGGATATTAACATTGCCTGTTTTGATTGTACCAGCTAAATTATTAGTTTTTTTTTTTTTTTTTATTTAATTTTTTTTATTTAGACCAATTTAACATAATCATTAACCCATTTAATCATCATCGTTTCCTCCCTTTTTTGTTTTGTCTTCCCCAAGTCTGTTTATGTTCCTCACGCACTGGCGTTCAAGAGATCATACGCCACAAAGGTAGTATTACATACGTTCCCATTGATAACCCCCCCAGCCCTCAGCGCATGTGCCAGTTTACTGTCATAACACTCTGGCCTAAAAACTAACCGTCCTCTCTGTATGCATGTGGCAGTCGGACCGCAGTTGCCCACTCACTCACCGCTGGATATCCGCTCTGTTAAAACATGGACTTTTCTGGTCACAGTGGTGCCTCTGCATCTCTTGATATCAGGGGCTGCTCCTCTCTGACTGGTGTGATATTAACCTGCCTATCTGTCACTGCGCCACTGTTTCTACTCCAGTCTGGTTACAGGGATAACTTTTGACGTTTTCCTCCAGTGCTGTCCTCTCTTTTCTCTTGATTCATGCCAGCTTTTTATGTCCTCACGAATAGCTTATTCACATACTGTATCGCCCATTATTACGGAAGATTTCATAATGTGAAGGATTATAAATGTGTTATTTGCATCACATTGTGTTCTCGATTGTTATGTTTCCCTACCTTGAAATTGCAATTTGTAGGACTAGAAAAGCCTGTAGATAATGTGTAGTGTGTGGATAGATACTGTGGAGTGAGATTTGAAATATCCCAAGCTAGATTTTATTGTGCTAGTCGATGTTGTCCCTCGCCTCCTATGTAATGAGTTTCCTCCCCCTCTCCTCTCTTGTTCAGTTTTTCTGAAGGGCCAGGGCCCCATGGAGTCAACTCCACATGTTAGTAGCTTGTGAGCGAGACTTCTCTGACCCCGCGCTTTTTGTTTTGTTATTGCACTAGAAAACCTACACAGAGGAAGAACTGAATGCCAAGCTGACACGAAGGGTCCAGAAAGCTGCACGACGGCAAGCCAAGCAGGAGGAGCTCAAGAGGCTGCACAGAGCCCAGGTAACTAACCTTTGGTGGAATGGATTGACACTCATGTACTCCTCTGGATGAATAATACGTTTGGTGATCCTCTAACTTTTCATTTTGCCCCCCATCATCAGGGCAAAATTTCAGCTGGTCTAATAATTTGGTTTGCAACGAGACACTTGACATCCCCATCAGCTTTAACTGTACTTTTTATTTAGCGTGTTAGCGTGCTGATGTAGGCTCAGCCCCTAGCATCAGAGTGATTAAGTACTCACAGAGCTGCTAGCATGGCTGCAGGCTCTCGACTGCAGTCTTCTGATGTCATGTTGAAATTAGGTCTGATGCATTCTTTTGTGTTCGTTCACTTGTGGTGTTTATGTGCTGAATAGCTCTTTTTAAACAGTTTCACCAAACCAGTATGCATGTTATTCATGTCAAACTATTTAAATATGAAGTGGGTTCAATTTATATATGTATTTTTAGTGGCATGCTACAAAGATATTGTTTTCACTGTTACTCAGTGTTGTCCTGTTGTTTTTTGTTTGTTTTTTTACGCACCATATGGTCACTCTTATGCGACTCAACCAGGGTTGGAAATTAACTTATTTGTCCAACTGCCTCTGTGGATTTTATAATCTAGCAGCCACCATTGTTTTCTTTGGTGAGTGATGCATATTTTACCAGCATTGGCCTGGTGGCCGGTGCTTTTTTTTTTCCCAACGCCATCTTGGATTGCAGCCAAATTCCTACTTTGGTTCGGAAATTCACTGTGATTGATGTTGAAACTCTGCAGTCAGGCTTCCAATCCACTGACGCAGCACTAAGCTACAGCTAAAGTCTCTGCTCCTGGAGCTGTGGTTAGCTGGCCTGAATTCTGCCTCTTTCCCTTTAGTGGCTACTTGCAGAACCCAAACCACGCTTCTTGTTTAGCTCCTCTTGCTGCATGGCACTGATAAAGTTCAGCACTGACAGAGGAAGTTAGAGTCTGGGGGGGTGGGGCTTTTGGATTAAGCTGTTTTCTGCTCATTTTGTACATCTCTCATTCTACCCCTTACATCACTTTACCCACATCGAACCATTTAATCATTTCTCAAGTCATATTTGAACTAGTTTGAACTATTTGTACATGGGTCACTCAAAGACATCACCTATTGCCCACTGAGTTTTTTTCGGCCAGATAATAGCCACAAGTATCAGCAAATTACTGCAATAATTCAACATTTTAGTTACTGAAGTATAATGAAAATATTAAATCTAAAAGATTCTTTATACAGTGGATAAGCTGCGACATACAAAATGCAAATATGTCCTTAAGACTGGTTCACTTTTTTCCTCACAGCATTGAAAGTTTAAAAGTAGGTTTAAGTAGAAGTGGCAGTAGTGGGATCTTGACTTGTTGTTCCTGCTTCTTCACCGGCCTCTGTGGCGTTGGCCTCCATTAACGAGCCCTTAGGAGATATTATGCATGCCGCTCTCACACGTCCTAAGAGGCTGCATCCCCTCTATCGTTTACTGCCAATCACAAGAGAGAGCGTGGTGTGGGCTCTACAGGCACATGAGCTTGTAGACTTTAATTCGCAGCGCTCCCACTGTGCATTGATAGGTCTATCTTTAATGAGGGCAAACTGTTGCATTAGTAAACTGTTAACGGTAACCTCCGCAGCAGCCTAGAAACGTGTGGCACAAGTAAGTTATAATGAATTAGTGGCCGATGTTATTCTGTGCAGCCATGTGAGATAACTCCGATTGTTTGTAATGGACTGTCTTCATGTATTTCATGAATACCGTGACTCTCTTGTCCGTTCAGATCATCCAGAGACAGCTGGAGCAGGTGGAGGAGAAGCAGAGGCAGCTGGAAGAGAGGGGCGTGGCTGTGGAGAAAGCTTTGAGAGGAGAAGCAGGTAACGGTACAGTCTACACCTGCTCTATATGGAAAAACGTCTGTTAGGATTTGAAACCATTTAAATTTAAATTTCCTCTTATACCTTCATTAATTTTTTAAGTCAATCTCGTCATCCCATGTGTCGTGGTGTACCAGTAGTGCTGCTGCAGATAGACAAATTACCTACATTCAGTGAACCAAAGGGTGTAGTAAGTTCCATAACGCTGAGAACAATTTCTATATTAACATTTTACAAGTGATTCATGGCAATTAAGTCTTGTATTTATGTCAGCGCTGGCTCCGTGAGACCCATGTTTTATCTTTACATGATACGAGTTCAGCCTGTTCTAGAAGCTCTAAAGGGAATAATAATAATATCGATGATTAGGATGATGTAACCAAGACACTGCATTAGCTCAGAAAAGCTGTCCCTCTGCGATCATTTGCACTGTGTTGAGATCACAGTCTGCATTTCCAATTCATGCAGCCGCACTGAAGCCGATATTCCAGCACGTAGGCTTGTATGGAGCAGAAAGACATTTGTTCCTCCAAAGTAATAAGCCCAAATCGGTCCGGACAAGGGACTATCGCAGACGATATATTTCCGAGGGGAAGAATGCATTATGTGTTGGAGGGCAGCACAGTTCATTATTTGGTACAGTTTTATCAGAGCGTAAAAGCATGAATAGTGCTCAGTAGTAATAACGCATAATTTATGTCATGTCAGTTTTGTATGCGAGAAAGGCTTTAATGATCATGGCAATATATATACGCTGTTATCATGCAAATGCATGCACGCAGATGAACATTTCTTTACATTCGGCCTATTTTCCTACCAACCAAATAACTCTTTACTTTTCCCCATCAGCTGTGTCTCCAGCCAATTGTTTGAGTATGTTTTTAACTTTGTTTACTACTCTACTCTCTTAAAGGATTGTATAAAGGTACTTATACATTACCCAAACAGCACAAAAGAAGATCAGGTATTAGATTTACCGTAGTTTCCTTTTTCTTGTTTTTATTAATGACATGTCACACTGTTATGTATAGGCTCCATCTGTGGTGACACACTGCAACATTTCTCCATCTCTGAACATGTTTGATCTTTGTCCGTTCATAACTAGTCCGCCATCGTCAGTCCGAGCTGCATGCGATCAGGAGAATGTGTGTCCCCACATAGATTTGTGTTTGCTCATTCTGGATGTGTTTGGTCTCCTTCACTGCCTCTCAATGAGGAGAGTTTCTGTACTCTGATCAAGACTCAGATCACGTTACATTTCATAAATACAATCCGAATGCCAGAAATCAAATATGAATTGGTTTTCAGGCTGACAACTTCGCGATTGCAATATTTTCTGCAAACGTTTGCTGTGGCTGATTGACTTGATACAGATGTTTCTTTGAGATCGTATCTATATTCCATTTATTATTATTTTATTTTACTGTGGTGAGTAACGGCAATCCAGAGTTGTTTGTGACTTTGTCTGTTGCACTCAGAGATCACACTTAACACTCAGCTGCTCTTTCAGTCTGAAACGATTAAGTATTAAATGATTGAATTATTGCAAGCGAACATTTGTGCACATGGATTGGATCGTACGTAACTGGAGAAATGAAAGCTTTTCTCGCTGTTTGCACGAACTACAACTTTGTCAAATTAAGTGCACGCAATGCAAAAATGATCATTTCCTCAACACATTACAAGAGGCTTTGTGTGATATTAAACAGACTGAGCCAATAAACAGCAACACAGCAAATCTATGTTGCAGCCTCTTATTATTTTTTAAATAAATATCATATATTAGTATTGCTCAGCCTGACTGCATTTTGCACTGTGGTGAGTACTGATGGACTCTCTTTGTTCCGAGTGTTGCTGCAGCGGGTATGTGTGTGTGTGTGTGTGTGTGTGTGTGGAAGAACTGTTTGCAAGAACATGCATGACTTGCTGTTGTTGGAGAATTTTGTGCGTGTGTTTGTGTGCCCAGTTTGGGGCCGTGTGAAATAACGCCTATCTCTAATATATCCCTGTCATTGTAGACTATTGGGGAGATTCTAATTACAGTGAAATCCTGGACTTGCATCTGGGCGGTATGTATTTCAAATCTGTCGCTTTAAACTAACCTAATGGCTAACCCATCTGTCCTCCTAACCCCCCCCCCCCCCCTCCCTTTTTTTTTACAACTTAAGCTTTGTACCCCTCATATCTCCCTTGATTGGCTGACTGGCAGGCTTTTAGCCTCATTGCAATACTCTCTGCTCCTATAACACCCTCCCCTCCCCCGCCCCCTCTTTCCTCCACCCGCACTGAGTTTCTAGTTCAGACTCTCTTTTACATCAAACAGAGATCAGACACTTGGCCTCATGCTGTCCTCTTAAGATTGTCTTTGATCTCTATGGACTCATAAATGATGATAAATAAGTAACTTTTATTTGTGAGTCCTCAGCACGCAGACTTTATAATGCTAACTGCAGTAGAGACGACGCCATATTGCAGAGTCAGAAATCCAAGCAGCAATAAAGGTTCCTGTTGCATTCAAAAGAAACACTGTGTTTGAAAGGGCTGGATCCTGATTTAAAGCTTAAGGATGCTGATATTCTATATTTTCTTATTGTCAGTGAATCCCATGAATAAAAAAAAGAATAATGATTTTACTAGCCGAATTCAAGCCGATACAGTCTATGCGTCTGTGTCATAGAGTTGTTCAAGTAATGTTAGCTAAAAAATAGCTTTTAACAGAAATATCATAGATGAAGAAAAACACGCGTACGTACAAAAGACACACATGGTGCATTACGCACACATTCACACACACACACACACCCACACACACACACACACACACACACACACACAGTAAAAGTATGATATGACCTTTCCCATACTAATCTGCTGGCATGACTCCATTCCCCTCAGAGCTCAGTGCTGTTGAACTTCTGTCCTGTAGTCCCAGCAAATGCTTCCCTGAATTTCTCATACCTGCTCAGTTGCATAACTCCCCAAGTGTGTGTGTGTGTGTGTGTGTGTGTGTGTGTGTGTGTGTGTGTAGTGTGTGTAGTGTGTGCTAATAGGCAATGCTGCAACCCTTGACCCTTAGCTGCTATGGGCCAATAACACCGTGTCCGCCCTGTCTGGAAGAGACGTCTCGTGGTATCTGTTGTTTTCTTGTGTAGACGGTGGCCTTGTTTAAATATTGAGTACAATGCATTTTTTCCTCCACATGTGTACAGCAAAGTCAGCCGGCTTTGTTTGCTTAATATTTATTCCGTTTCAGTGGAGTGTCCCAGCAGGAGTGGAATAAAGGTGCATTTCCAAATATTTGAGCAAGGCCTGTGCTTCTCTGTTGGCTGTTGTCACTAACGAGACAGGAGATTGCGTGGAGTGAACAAGTGCACACAAAAGGAGTTTTCCAACATAACTGGTTGACCAGGGTCCCAACAGGGGCTTGATGTGTCTGAGCTCATAGAAGTGATTCATTCAATGAAGAATGTGTGATTACTAAAAAAATGTTTGTGTCTCACTTTGAGTCTTTGCAACTGGAAGCGACGTGTCCGTAGTGTTCACGGAGGAGGATTCGTCTTTTGGGCTCTTCTCATTTCTCAGTTTGTACATCCTCGATCCCTGTCCTTGCCTCCTCTGCTGGCATCTTAGTCCCTCCTACTTGAGATGCGAGCGAAGGAGGCGAGGAAGAGACATGAGGTGAGGAGTCGACATCCGTGCTTCCAACTCGTCATTTTAAAGCAACATCAATACGATGTGTGGCACAGCTGTCCGTTGCTTTTTAACGCCTCTTTTAGACGTCACAGGTGCCGAAAAGATTTCCTCAAAGGATACACCTGTGTGCATCCTCGCCCCCCCTCTGCTGAAGAAGCATTTTAGGAATTGAGAAATCCTTCGATGATGCGCTGCGATCGATTTCCAGGTCACAGGCAAGAGGATGGAGGACAGAGGAAGCACAAATAGAGAAATGAGAAGAGCACCGTGTTTTATCACAGGTTGGGGAATTGTAGAAATTTTACTCTGAATTTTGCTGTAAGGTGCATAGTTGCTGTATCAGCTTGTTTGTATTTTAAAACTAAAGCCGGGATCAACATGATTATCCGTATACTTTTAATCCTCTACTTTAATGATTATACAATTATGGATTTACTGAGAGTCAAGTTCCAACGATGCATTTCATAGTTTACATTTGCGTGATTTGGCGGATAAATAAATATTAGGACTCTAATCTGTCCAAAATAGATTTTCTAAACTGCAGTTTTCTCTGTGATAGTCCCTTTCAGTAATGATCTGGCATTTCACTCTCCTTGCTCCTAAGAACATTGTGTTTGCCCTTTATATGTGTGACTATCAAAGATCTGCTTCCCCCAGTTATCTTCACATTTTCCCTAAATCTTTCTTCATTTTACACTTATTCTATAGTCTTTATTTTGGGGGGTTTATTAAGGTAGGACGCCAGTATCTTTGATCAAACCTTTGCCAGAAAATGAGTTTAACGGGTGCATATTAGAAAAAGTCCTGATTTGCGCTTCAATAGTAGCTACACTATAAAAGTCGCCACACTAGCAACTAATTGGGCCGAACGGTCCGAACATGTTCAAGTAGTGTTTACAAGAAGCGGCTGAAACATCTTCAAAGCAGAAGCAATTCTCCGTGTCTGTGAATGAGACGTATCTCCTGCTGATCAGTAATGGCTTTAATAATGGGATTAAATCCTGTTGTGTACCGTGATAAACGCTGGCCATATGCGACACAGGGTGCTGTAGCAGATTAGCTGAGGAACTACAGATGAAAGATTAAACAGGGATTCTTTTTTCCTTTTGTCTTTTCTTGTTTTTTCGTTTCCTATTATTATTATTATTATTATTATTATTATTATTACCCCTTTTTTCATCCCTCACACCACACAGCTGATCTCTCCCACCTCCTCTCTGTGGGTGATTTGTCTTCTCTCGATCACGGTGCTCTTACCCTCCTTTTGATTTTCTCCTCAATTTTCTTTCTCCTTCATCACACCCTTCCGCTTCCCCCTCCACTCTTTCTCTCTGTAATGTCTCTGCTCTCCCTCCTGCATTATTTCCACCACTCTCTCTCCCACCCGACCATGCTCCCGTCAACGTCACTCTCTTTCCCCACCCCCCGTCTTGTGGGAAGTTGAGCCCTTTGTGGGGATGCCACGCCGAAGACCTGTCTCCTTCTGCCCCTGCTGGTCCCCTGAAGGTAACGTAACCCCGCCGCCGCCTCTGATGACGGTTGTGGCGGGTTACCATGGCAACCGTAAGGATATCCAGAACCGGGCCTCCCTGTGGAGCTCCCATCCTCCCCCCTGACTGCTCCTCCTCCTCTTCCTGTCCTGCCTGTTTGTGTGTGATCAGGCTCAGTAGATTTCCCCGGAATGTTCCCAAAGCTCAGTGAAGTATTGAAGCATTTATGTGGAATGAAATTGATTTTTAAATCTCATCACAGTTTTGCTCTCTGTGTCAGAATGTATGCTGATAAAGGTATTGGCCAGTTGGTTCATTTACACTTGTTTACCACGACGGTTAATGTAGATTGTCATCTTCCCCTGACCAAATAAGGAGCCAGAAAGAACCAACAGCATCCTTTCAACTCTAGTCTACAGCACGAGCATCTTGGCTGCTACAGGGTGGATGCTCGAGGCCTGAGCAGCTATTTTTTAGGGTTATGTAACCTGAAGTCCAACAAAATGTTGTAGTTGGTTAGAAAATGTTGAAAATGTAATTAGGCGGATAGCAATTACACAGAACGACTGATCATCATCAACACCAAATGCCATTTCAGTTTTTTACAACTAGGTGAAACTGTATTTCCTTATTAAGTTATCATGTGTCACAGTGCTGTGATCAAAGACAAAGATGTACATGTAATAGAGGCTTGGGAAAGAAGGTGTCATTATTGTAACTATCAACAACAAAACATCTCCAAAGTAGAAATGAATAAGACTAGTTTTGTGACGATTGTTGGGGGCTCTACGCTTTGATTGGGGTATTTTGTCAGTCAAATCTGGCAACAATTGCTGTTCAAGAGCAGGGCAGCACATGACAAACCCTCAAGTTTGAGCAGCATAATTCATACTGATGTATGCAGGTTATAGTATTCTCATGTGACCATACAAGCACAGTGTCTCACTGCTCAGTCTCTACCTCTGTTTTCTCAGAGGCTGCATTCACACAAAGGGGAAATTACTCTGCTGTAGTGTGTCTAATCAACAGCATGTGGTCTGTTTTCTGTTTAGCTAAAGTTAATTGTAAAGCTGCATATTCCTTTGCGGTATCCGTCTTTGCTGTTGTTATCCCTTGAATAAGTTATATAGTGTCATGTACTCATAAAATGATCATAGCCCTGGGGGTGAGCACATGAGACGTGGCTAGTATATGTGGTTCAACGAGGGAGAAGCCTGCCTGGTGTGATATAAATATTCAACAAGTTTTACACAAAACGTCCTAACAAAATAATGGATCGTGTGGTGTGTTCCAGTATCTAACACCTGTCAGTGCACATCTTGCCCGAGCTTCTAATCCGTGTAAAGAAACATGCGTTTGTGTTTGTGTGATCTGGTGTTTTGTTCCTTTTTATTGTTGTTCCTGCCTCGTACCGGACGGCTCTCATTTGTGCTCGGAGCCTTGGGCTGAGGGGTGGTGGTGATGGTGGAACACGTTGAAGCAGTTCAAGAGACAAAGAATAACATCTATTTGTAGAATAGGTTTGGAAACCCACGTGTTGTGTTCCTCTCCAGTGGGAGTAGCTCTTCTCTAGCTTCACCTCTCTCTGTGTCTGTTAATTAGAGAAAGCCAGGCCCCCCCCCCCCGAGACCACGGCCGTGCGATTTATGCACGTACGTTGTTTTGCAAGAGCCTCCTCTTCCCCCCCAGCTAAGTATGTCACGCTGCATCGAGGTTTGCCTTCCGGTGCGTCATTGAAGCTGCTTGGCTCCGCCTGCTGCAGTCAGATAAATGAAAAGGATGCATCTCCCCGGCAGGAGAACTTTCTAAGCATGCCACGTAGACAGCCGGACTGCAGGAGAAGTGTGCAGCTGTTCTGCTCTCTCACTTATTGTGATAATTATGAAAACCGTGCATGATGCCAATAGCGCCGAACATGCTTTACCCTGAGGCAGAATTACTAGAGGAGTGTGACCTCACTGTTGGTCTCAATGAGAAGTCATCCCATGAACACTTGACGTTATAATTGAATATGTTAAGACAGCAGAATAATTCATGCATCCCCCCCCCCCCCCCCCCCCACCCTCAAACTAATCAGCATGAATGGGATGTAAAAGGATTTTTATTTTTGCTGGTGGGTCGATGTGTGGGCAGGGGAGGATGAAGAACTTCTATAGGGTCCTTGGGTTTAGTTCTCTGTAATGTCTGAACTACTGGTTGGTGTGTTTGCGTTTTCTCTTACAACCCACCCACTCTGGAGAGAAAAACAACAGCTCTTCGGAGGAGGTAGTTGCTCCAGAAGAGCTGCTACGTCTGACACAAAGTCCAAACTGGGTGACACAAACTCTCAACCTTGCAAATACAGGTGTTGTCTGTTTGTGCGTGTGTGTGTGTGTGTGTGTGTGTGTGTGTGTGTGTGCGTGTGCGTGTGCATTTACCAAAGTTGAAACCTGTAGCTCCACGCCATCTTCTGCGCACCATCTCCTAAGTATGGTGCGACTGACCGCGTCGCTGTCGAGTCCATCCTTCCACCTCACCATCCCCTCAGCGAGGACATCCTGGCTTGGCTGTCATTGCATTGCCTGTGTCAGTCCTTGTCAGTGTGACATTAGTGTCATCTCCTCAGCCATCTGGCGTCTTACTCCCACTCTGTGCTTCCTCCTTCCCTGCAGGCATGGGCAAGAAGGACGATCCCAAGCTAATGCAAGAGTGGTTCAAGCTGGTGCAGGAGAAAAATGCCCTGGTCCGCTATGAGTCCGAACTCATGATATTGTAAGTACATTTCTCGACTGTTGAGAGAGAGAGAGAGAGAGGTAAACTAATCAATGAACTAGACTTGTCAAAGGGGGCTTTGCATTGCCAGGTAGCAAAGCTTAGCTGTGTGTTGTTGGTGGCTATGCCAACTGTTGTAATACCCGAGCAGCTATTTTGAAATGTCGTATTTTATGAGAATAAAATAAATTATATTTGTTACAGCCGGCGTACTCAAAAATATGCGGGCGCATCTTGGCAACGGAAGTAGCCATCAGGACCAGATAGCAAGCATTCTCATTTCCATATGATAATTTCACATAATTGATCATATACTGATACTTTTGATCTTAGTAAGCTGTGCTAAGTCATGAGCATTGATTCCTGGGATCATGATTGTCATGAAGCAATGAACTTATGAACAATAGTGTTATCCTTAAACATGCAATGCAAGTAATAAATTGCATGATGACGATATAATATTCAGCACAAGAAAATTATAACAGACTATACAGAAGGTAATATACTGGCTTTCTTATTTTTATGATTATTACATCACGAGTTTAAAAAGGTTGTAGCCCTAATGAAGTCGTAATCATTTTTTCAAAATCATAACTTGATATGTGATCATATTTGCAATCCACTAGAGAAACAACTTTATTACTCGCCGACAAGTGATTAAATCATCCAGCGTTATCTCATGATCGCTTACTAAAAGCTTTAATGTTATCTAATCATCTTTTTTTAAATAACGAATAATAAAACAAAAAAAAAAAGACCCTGCCAAGATGGATAAAAATGCAACCAAAAATCATAAATGTTGAAAGCTATGCTTCATCGGTGAAACGTTGCGCTCGCTCATCTTTTTCTCTTTCCGTCCCCAAAGTGCCAGAGAGCTGGAGCTGGAGGACCGACAGAGCCGACTGCAGCAGGAACTCAGGGAGCGAATGGCTGTAGAAGGTGTGGAATGCACTGCAGCTGTGAAATATTTAGACCCGTGTATAATCTGATCCCTCTCTTTAACCCCGTGTTCCCCCCCCCACCCGTGTGCATCTCTCAGACAACCTGAAGACGGAGAAGGAGCTCAGTCAGGAGAAGCAGATCTTGAACGAGATGTTGGAGGTGGTGGAGCAGCGCGATGCCCTGGTGGCCCTCCTGGATGAGCAGAGGCTTCGGGAGAAGGAGGAGGACAAGGACCTGGAGGGCGTTATGCTCTCCAAAGGCTTCAACCTCAACTGGGTTTAAGAGGAGTGAAATAATTGCTCATCAAAAAAAAAAAAAAAAAAAGTTGGCTCGGGATCAGCGTTCTCTGCCTCACATGGTCACCTTTGATCAGAATGGTCTGCTGAACATCTGCAGCAGTGAATGTGTAAAGATTCCCCCAACACACACACTCAAACTCTACGACTGCCTCTGGCATCGACGCAGTCCGCAACTTTTACATAAAGCAGTCCCAGTTAATCACTTTGCAGTTTTGCTTTCCCTCCCTGGAGAGGCCGAGTACATTCACAGCTTTATCATCCTGGCCTTGAAGTGGATCCTCTCAAACGGAGAGGGGGCTTCGGGAGAAATTTTAAAGACTTTGTTCCATTCTCGATTATCTAAAGGGAAGAATGCAGTTTGGTCCTGCTGATGTAAAGAATTGTGTTTTTTGTGTATAGTTGTGTAGAACAAGTCACATTTTTCGGCGGATGAGGGTCCTCCTCTTTTTTCCGAAAAAGGACCGCTACAGAGGTGTGTTTGAACGCTGGAGGGATGTCTCCAGTGTCTCAGATTACCCTTCTCAGTCCGATTGTAGGACGAACATCCTCTGCTGAAGCTGCCTTTCGATCCAGAGACTTCTGCATCCTTATGAACCATAAAAGGCTCCCCCCCAAGATGGCCATGTTTTTTTATGTATTTATTACCTTTGTTTGCTTTTAACAGATACACATTTTTGTGTTGTTTTGCATTCACAGGAGAGTGCCCACAGTCTCATTATCCTGCACTTGTGCATGATTTAGATGCACCCATAAGCCATTGCATGTCAGGAATGAAGGCTGCAGGCACATAGAATACCTTTCCCTTCTCTTTTATCGCCAGGACATAGAATACAGACTTACTCTATATGAACACTTAAGCATTTCACGTGACTCGATAATGATGGGCCTCTCCTTGACATGCTGTTCTACTGTATATCACACCGACTGTTAATGTTTACAATTACTTGTCCATAGTCGAGATTTGGATGTTTATGATTCCCACAATGGTAAACGGTAGCGGCGTAAACCAACTGTTGAATGGATTCATCTTTGAAGGAACTCTGTCCTCGAGTTTAGATGCGTTTCCTACCGAGTGCGTCAACGTCGGGATATCATTATTAAAGCCGATTTCACTGTTAATGTGAGATCAGCATAGCTCACATTACTCATTTCGTGCCACCTGACTGTCTCTGTCGGTAGATGTGCTGCAGTATCTGAGGAGTACACCACAAGGACTTTCACACTATACGCCATTTTCATCATTATATGGCAGTGTTAATACTTTACCCTTGAACAAGATGCCTTTTTAATTTTCATTCTCTATAGTAAAGTTATATTTTATTTTTCTGAGTTGACTTGTTTTTGAGGTAGTCACATATGTGTATCCCACTGGAACTCAAGATTTTTACCTGTCTTTTATTTTTCAAACACTTTTATACAGCAGGTCCCCAAACAAACAAATGGATGATTTTAAAATGGGGCCGCTGAAGAAATGCAAAGTGCTTCATGAGCAACTGGCATCAAACAGGAACATTATGGTTTATCTGGTGGTTAGTCAAATCTGTTAGCCTTTTTGACAACTGTAAAATTCCAGGTGGTCACTGTTTTAGAGCACAGAAACACTAGAGGCTATATTTATGACTTGGTATGACATGTGAATAAAAAAAAAAGTGATATCATTTTAAGGGTTGTTGCTTTAGATGATGTTTGACATGATTGTATTGATATTTATTAACACGTGTGCAAACTGTATTATATGTAAAGAAAATGAATCCTAATTTTTAAACTGTTCTGTTGACTCATGACTTGTAATGTAAGTGCTTCATGTAGCTAAATGCATAGGGGTGTTGGATGTATGCTGAAAATGGCAATAAAACAATGCAGTTCTTTTAAATGTCGGTCTACGAAAGTCTCACTTGTTAAACAGATTTTAGCCTAACCATAATGCATTATGTCCACAGAGAACATGAGCTACTGTAGCAATGAGATTAACCGTAAACCCAAACGTATATAAATTGATTAAGTAACACAGTCACTGAGTCAGCAGGGATTTTGAAACAAAGTTTTTACATTTAGTAGCATTGGCAGTAGAAAAAACAAACGCATCGTCAAAACATAAATACAGGAGTAAAAATTGGGAACACATGAGTTGAGAATATTTACTATATTAGTAATTAAGGACAGGCATGGTTGGAGTACCAGGTAAACTAACCTATGTTTGAAATCAGTGGAATAGCTCTTCAACATTGAAAAGGCTATGTACCAATCAATGGGTTAAGGGAATTAACAAAATAAAATAAGGAGCAAAATACCACATTCAGAGCATGCATAGCAGCAAACAACTATTTGCAATGTAGATATATAGTTGAGTGATATTTACCTGAGCAGAGAATGAAGTTACTCTCCCTGTGTGTGTGTGTGTGTGTGTGTGTTAATTCACTCAGATAAACACTGTCAGCTCTGTCTGCAGGTTTGCCTGTTATTTAAATGTATCTATTCTGCCTGTTAGCGCCAGCTCAGGCAATCCCTGTTGAGAGCCATTTAGAGGCAATCGGAATGCTCCCAATCTCGTACCTTGCACCCTTTAACAATGCGGATTTTTTTGTCCGTTCTCCTCACCACTGTTAACAAAATGCAGACGTTAAAACGTGTATAATTGAGTTACCTATTGTATTACTTCTATACAAATTTTATTTTACACGTTTGAACCGTTATTTTGAAAGCACTGAAATTGACTTCCGGTGATGTTGCGTTAAAGTTACCAGAGGCTGCGCCAGTGAGTACTTGTCGAAGGTTTGGAGAAGTTAACGCACTTCAATAATGATGGCATCGAGTTTCAGGGACTGCAAGGTGAGTGGTGGCGCTTTAGGAAGAATTAGACTGATGTTCGCTGTCCATGCATGTTTAAAGTTAACTAAAACTAACGGGCTTCGTGGGACAGGTGTGGCATAACAGTTTGCATACCCAGTGAGCACTAACCCGGTGTTACGTGCCTACTGGTTTCTGAACCTACTGGTTTCCCTTCCGTGCGTGTGTTGTGTTCGCTTAACAGCTGCAGCGGTTTTCTGCCTCTGTCGCCTGATTCGTCACACATTCCCAAACATATTGCTGGAGATCTAAAAGACACATCTCATATCAATTGCAGGGATTACGATTGTATAAGTGAGCACTACATCACAGCCACGTATGAGGAAATACATAGAAGAAAATATATTTATGGAAAGATTGCAACAACCTTCACATATATTTATTTATATAAATATGACATCCAAGAACTAAAATATGCCCAATCTTATATCCTCAATTACAATAATAACATAGTTAAATATATGAAAAGACATCCAAACCGAAAGACCAGCAATTTTGGGGTTAAGTGTCTTGCTCAAGGACACATCAACATGCTCCTAGCGGAGCCGGGGATCGAACCGCCGCTCCTCTGATTGAAGACTCTGACTGAACAGTTCCCTCTGTTATTAGAAAGCATAATAATGGAAGTGTAAATTTTGTGGAGAAGAAGAAACCGTGGACCATGTTTCATTGTCCTGTCAGAGGTACGAGTCAGAGAGAGAAGTTTTGAAAAAAGGTCTAAGAGAGATTGGAGAGGAAAGCTTTAGTGACAAATGTTGGAAACTTTTTCTGGAATATTTAGAGTCAACAACACTAATGAATAGAATTTGAGAAAGAAATGTATTATTATCCGCCACAAAACAACAGAAGAAGAAGAAGAAGAAGACACTCATCTGCTTTCCAGGCGAGGCGCAGTTCAACTCGAACGAGCCTAATGTGCTCTGCTCTCATTGCGATGTCCTGGGAGCTTCTTGTTGACAGCACACAGTCTATAGTTCCATATTTATGAAGTTTTGTATGAGACATTGAATGCGTTGAAATAACGTCTTCGTGTAGACCACATATCAACGGTCAGCGTAATATGATTTTGGAGAAATACGTTTAAAGTAACCAAAATCGCGTCTCTTTCAACCTACAACTGAACAAACCATCAATATTTCATATTTCATCAATGGGGTTCAGACCCCAAATCAACGCTTTTTCAACCAGAAATCAACGTTGAAATCCGGGTTAGTGCTCACTGGGATGTTACTGAATGCTCACTGTATGTGTGTGCTGTGTGGATGTACAGTATTTAAATCATTGTGCTTTCTCTCCATACAGGCATGGAGTGCAGAATGTCTTCCATTGTCCACCAGCAGTAATGAGGCTTGTAAACTATATGACGCCATACTCACTCAGGTAATACACACACACACACACACACCGATATTGTCTGCAGACTAGGCTGTAGTAGTGAAAGACACATTTACAATTAACAACATCTCTCTTTTTGTTGGGCTCCTAGTATGTGAAATGGCGGAATGATGAAACCGTGGGAGGATTTGAAGGATGCATTTCTGCTATCCAGACAGCTGATCCCAACTTTGGTAAATAGATAGTCGGTGGAAGGTTATTTATTAGCTTTATTTAACGTTTTGCATTACTTGGTAAGTCCTGATGAGACACAGGAAGTCAGGCAGCAGCAGAGTGAAAAACACATTAAAGGAGACAACAGCACACCAGTGTTAAAAGTTCAGAAAAAGAAAACAAGGAAAGGGATGAAGGCAATGCTGCTAAATATATCTACTGCTGACTGTGACCCTTTAGATACTTTAAATAAACATTGAAAAGGTCAGATCCTCAAAGTCAGAGCTCTAGTTAGAGGGAGCAACAATCTTAAAAGCTTATCGTCATGTCATGTCTCGTACTTTGGGGTCCTTTTAAAAAGATTCGGCGTAACATGCTGAGTAATCTAAGCACATAAATAGAAGGGACCCTGACCTGTGAAAGGCAAAGATCTGCTCAGCTAAACAAGCAGTTTCCAAATAGACCTTCGGATACGTTATAAAATGTTAGTGCACACAGTACAGCAACAATACTGACAGCTGCAATCAAGATGCTCCAGTTCCGTGACCCTGGTATTTTGCATGCGAGCTCAGTGGAATGAGTCAATATGGGAATCGGTCATCGCCTTTCCTGCTATGTTTCGGGCCTCTCTGATACAACACCTTGGATATTTAGCATTAACCCGTTGAGCTCGAGAAGCAGAGGTCGATCAATATCCGTCTGTCAAACAAAGCAGCTGTGTGACTTGTCGTCGACGTTTATAGATGCTGCTGTTGTGTCGCCATGAGTTTGAGCTCTCATCTAAATGTTTGATCATTGTTCGTGCAAATGAATCGAGCTGTCGTTGTGCAGGTTCAGCAGTTATTGATGCTACCGCGTGAACTCGCATGCTGCTTTTGACTATGACTGAAAGTACAGAGGTCAGACCATTGAAATGTTGGCTATTTTATGGTTTGCATAACGAAAACGAATTGGGGTCTTCAGGTTGAATACCATTGTGGACATGAGTCATAGTCAATAGATCTGGTTATGTAACAGTTGTCTTTGGATTGGAAACAAAGCATTTGTAAAAAACAATATTTGAAATTGTTGGTAACCAACACAAATCTGTACTGAAGTTGTTTTCAAAAGGAAAACTTTTACAAGTGCATGTGATTTTTTTGTCATGTAAACTGTTAAATTGCAGTAAGACAGTCCGGAAGAAAAGACCCGTGTTATCTGTTTTCCCTGCAGTCATGGGTCATGTGATCAGCACGGGGCTGGAGCTGGTGTCAACAGCAACCTCCGCCCGTACCAACGAGCGCCTGGCCAGCGATGTGAGGCGAACAGTGGAGCTGGCCAACAGCCAGGTCCTCTCTCCCAGAGAGAGGCTCCATGTCGAGGCCATGGAGCAGTATTCACACGGGTAAGAGCCAGAGCCAGGTTTCCACAGCACACACCGTCCACACCGAGGGATGAACAGGAAAGTGGTCATACCGGGGCCAGTGGTTACGAAAGAGGGTCTCAACACTTCAAGTGATCGGGGATCCCACCGTGCTTTGTTGTCTTCCACATTAGGGCTTTTAATGAAATGTATAGAATTCCACCCTATACATATAAACTCCATTTAATAAATAAATACATTTAAAAAAGGCATGCAGTGCAGTAGTTCCCTCAAAAAGACAACGTTTTATTCTGTGGAATAATGCACATACTGTATATTACCTATCTTTAAAAATCAAAAGATTTGGAGATAAAGTATCACACTGTGATTGGTTAATGATATATCAATTAGTTAAAATTAATATTCATCACTAATCATCAATTAAACAAAAAAAAATCCAAGTATACATCTTCTTAAAATAAAACGGATGTGCAAGCATCTTGCAAAATTACGTTTAATAACAAAAATAAAGTCTAATTGCATTGAAAATAACAATATCACACTTTTAACACAGTCAAGTCTAATTGTTCAAGACTTGCCTGTATGTTTGTTTTATTGCTTTTTTGCTCACACTCTGGGTAAGCTGTATCTATCCATAGAAAATTATAAAAAAATAAATAATAATTATTGGCGGAGACGCATGTGACTATCTCATAGCTGCTGTTTCAGAGAGATAGTCAGCGGCGTTTGTTGAGGCTCTCTCCAAAGTACTGAACTTGAGTGACGGACACGGTTTCTTAGGCCGCTTGCTTTTCGTACTTATGGCCCAAATTCCATTCCCCCCCCATTGTATTAATGCACAGACAGAAGTAAAACAACAGGGAAGCGAAGGAACAGTCCACAAGAGAGAGAGAGACGCACGCTGCAATAAGCTAACTCTCCATACATGGTTATTTATTCATGCACACTAAGGAGATTTAATAAGCAACCAAGCAATTCCATGTAACACCGGACATTCAGCACCCCCGTATAGCCCGACTGAATGATCTGTTGTTTTACAACCACGACTACGCTGCTGCAACAACTCAAATGTGAGATTGGCAGTCGAATCGGCCTCCTTAGAATAACCAGTGACTATTCGAGGTCACTCCTAAGAAAAAGTTAAGCTAAATATACCCCAACTCACTTCATGTGAGCAATGCTTACAGAAGTATATGTTATTGAACTATTCACTAAACAATAACCAGCCTGTAAGCTACGATCTGCTCCTGCCAACCGGCTGGCTACTCGCTCACTACGCGGGGGGTCCCCAACTGTTTGCTGTCCTCGTCCAACCACGAGGGTCCCCGTTGACATCAGGAGCAGAAACATCTGTCGCAAGCTGAGACCTCATCTGTTCAGCGTGCCCCATGGCCCATGAAGCTTTAAATACTCCAGCTCTTGTTTATAAATGCAATACATGACGCAGTTCCTCTTTTTCTGTCCCCATGTGATACAGTCACATGCTTCACACACACAGCATTCATCTTTTCACATTGTGTTCCAAAGACTCTTATGTAAATTTCAGTCACAGTCACAGCAAGTAATATTCTAATTCTATATGCAGTGTCTTATTTCCCCATGGTACAGTATTATAAACTGTAATATTGAGAAATACATTTTGTTTCTCAATATTGTCTCGGAGGATACTTATGTTTGTCAAGGGCCTCTCGTCTCCTCCGTTCAGCACAAAGTCTATTGACATCTTAGTGATTCTCATGGTACACCTTTTCACCGTTGTCCTCCACTGATTCCCTTTAACACTGACTCGTGTTTCTTGCAGATGTTTTAGAAAGGCCTGTGATGTATGGGAGGACATCCTGGTGGATCACCCCACTGATATGCTGGCCCTCAAGTTTGCCCATGATGGCTACTTCTACATTGGAGCCCAGGCCCAGCTTAGGGATTCTGTGGCCAGGGTGCTGCCCTACTGGAAGCCACACATGCCTTTCTACAGGTACGGAAGACGGCAAACATTACAAGCATTTTTAGATGACTTTATAATCTTACTAAAACTCAACGTATTGGCCTAGTTATATATGTAGCGGGAGTGGAAGTGGGCTTTAATACACTTCAAACACAGGACATTGTTCTGTATACAGGTGCATCATATTTGTGTTTATTTAACAGTTATCAATGAGCTATCTCATAGCACCCATCTACAAAGAATTTGGCGTGTCAATCATCTTTGGAGCATTAAAACTTTCGGGGAAGAAACGAATACAAGATGTCTTTATGGATGTGTAAACGAGTAACTGTTTTCCATGTCAATGTTATAGGATATGTACATTTTTATGTTAAACCATATACGATTACTTATTTTAAAACATTTTATGGCAAACTATACTATGGCTAAATATCATACTCTACTAAGGCTTTTGTATGACATTATATTGCATACTACACAGTATAGTATGTCATAAGAATTACAATGACTTTTTTTATGAAATACTCTGCTATGACTTTCTCATGAAATGTTTATGACATTTTTATGATGTGTGAACAACTTGTTTCCGCTGCCCCAGAGCTCATTAAATACTGTACATGCAAACTCTCAAAAGAAACAGAAAACTACATTAGTTATGACTCTGTGTGTGTGTGTGTGTGTGTGTGTGTGTGTGTGAACTACATACGGGTTTATTTGAGTCGCAAGTGAGGGGGAAAAAAGGCATAAAAGAAAAAAAACAAGATATATGCAAGAAAATGAGCAGTTTTTACATGGATCATTGAAGATTAAAGTCACACAGACCCAGATAGTTTAGAGACCGATGTACCTGTTGATAGCAGCATTACCGTGCTGTGGCTGCTTAGCTCGTGGCTGTAAGCAAAGTGGTTCTTACTGAGAAGGTAGAGAGTGTTTCAAGAAGAGGCTGTTGAGGTGTCCTGCAGAGGGAAATCTCTCACACTGTGGGAAGCCTTGCTCTTCCTTTAAGGTGAAAACTTGAAGCAAGTCAATTCTGGTTTTCTTCCACATCTTTCATTTAACAGCACATAGTCCACGTATAGGCTGTAGGTGAGTGAGACCAAACAAAATCCAATCCTTAAACATTTAAAGGTGACATTGACGCCGCACAACAATTATATCTTCAAGCTATTGCTGTATTACCCAGAGAAATACTCAATATACTGTCACAACCTTACCACAGCGGAAATTAAAGCCCATATTCCTACTTAGCAGTCATTTGAAGGCAGTTATTAGCATAATGATCATGTTGACTTTTTAAAAAAGCAATTTGGGGTCATTTCACTCTCGTTTATGTGTGTGTGTGTGTGTGTGTGTGTGTGTGTGTGTGTGTGTTTGTTTGTTCCCTTAGCTATCTGAAAGGACTGTATTCCTTCGGTCTCCTGGAGACTCGCTCCTATGACCAGGCTCTGAAAGTAGCCATGGAGGTGAGATTTTCTTTTCCATTATAGTCCGACATGACAGTCGCTTGACAAAAAGCCTGAGGAGCATCAGAGACCAAACGTAAGATGGTCATTTAGACTCCAGCATGCCTCGATTTTTGATTTTACACTGGTGTCTGAAACACAGCGTTTGTATCTGCATTTGTGTTGCTTCTCCTTACTTGAAACTGTTAAACTCTTTGGTGCAGGGCCTCGCTCTGACTCCGGACGATGCCTGGTCCGTTCACTCTGTAGCCCATGTTTATGAGATGACCGTACAAGTGGACAAAGGCTTGAAATTCATGGAAAGTAGAGAGAAAGACTGGCAGGTACAACTTGTGCTATTCCTTAGTGTGTGTGTGTGAGTGTGTCACTTTAGCAACCTTGTACAGCTTCTACTACTGAATTTAATTACAGACAAATAGTCCACGGATAAATATTTCAAATTTGTATGAATTATTTCCAGGGAGCTGACGTGCTTGCCAGTCATAACTATTGGCATTGGGCTCTATACTTCATCGAGAAGGTAAATATCATGATGACTTTTCTCATCCATGCGAATAGTTGGCAGTGAGAGTGTTGGTGGGACTTGTATTTATGATATCCCTTCCTCCAGGTCATTTGAAGTCTGAAGTTGATTATATTGCGAGGTTAATTTGTGTTTTGCATCTGTGCCGCACACAATCTATCAACCCCGCTTATCTCTCAAGTCTGGAGTTATTCACATTCACCTTTCTCACCTCTGCCTCCTCCACAGGGGCAGTACGAAGCCGCTCTGCAAATATACGACACTCAGGTTGGTTTGTGTTGAGATTTCTGCATCAAACCTCTCATGCTATATCTGTCTTGAGTGCATACACACACACCGAGTCCTTCAAGAGCCATATGCATGTACCAGCACACGAGGGATTCAGACTAAAAGCAATGCGTTGTGAGTCAAGGAGGCAAGTGTGTGCAAATGGAAGTCAAATCCATGTGATGACAAATGTCAGTGTCAACTGTCAAAGCTGATTATTTTTTTATTCACTCTAAAAATAGGAACGACAAGAACATTTCGTGACTTTACTTAACGTTGCCGTAAGTCTGAACGCGACAGAAATTCGTACATAAAGTTAGATGAGCGTCATGAATGTTTAAGCGCTCACATCAGGGGAATGCAACGAGACATAAACGTGTCTTTAAAAACAAAAAAAAAAATGCATCACTCTGAAAAATGTCATTGTGTGGATGCAGTTACGTGTTACCTCCCTCGGTGTTCAAGGTGAAGAGTAAATGTTTGTCCTGCATTAGGTATTCAGACGTTGCAAAACTACGGGATCCATGTTGGACACTGTAGATGCCAGTTCAATGCTCTGCAGACTGGAGATGGAGGGTAAGATGCAGGCCGATGTGTCGTTGGCAATGTAAACACTGTCTGCAGTGAGGAAATTGGAAAGGTAGTTTAAAAACATCTAAGATACCTCAGACGCCACTTATCAGAGTGTGTCACTTCTTCAGAATTCCACTGATTGGCCTTGAGGGTGTTGCAACATTTGCTAACGTGTTGCTTATTGGCTGAAGGACGACCACAAGTCTAATTTGGGATAATTTAAGATAGTACGGCCTAAAGTGAAACTGCTAATGAGGTGAGATAATCTCAGTTATCATACCTCATTACTCTGAAACTGTGTTGGAAACGGCTGTAATTAGCAGAACCTCTGACCACATGTTCTTAGTCTATTCCCACTAAAACAGACTAAATGGCCTGCGGACATTTCAAAATGCGTCTCATAACTATGTAGCCGTTATGCAGCCTTCAAGCAGTGTGTGTTTGTGTTGGTGCATGTGCCAGGCGTGTGCGTGGAGGACCGTTGGCGGGAGCTCTTCCAGGTAACACGGCCGCACACCGACGATCACGTGACCTTGTTTAACGACGTCCACTTCCTCATGGCATCGCTGGGAGCCAAAGAGAGCGGGACGTCTCAGCGTCTGCTGGAGGGCCTCCAGGAATTGGCTAAGTAAGTTCCGCACCATTTCTTCTGTTCACTGCACACCTCAACGCTCTGTCAGCCTTACATAAGAGCCACACAGGCCTTATGTAAAAACGGAGACAGGAACGAGGCTGAGCGTAGGATGGCGAGCTAGAGAGCGCGAGCAGTCAGAAGGGGAATACAGAGCCGCAGTCCGTCTCAGAGGCCGGAGTCTTCCCTCTACAGCAGATGTACCAGCAGCTGCTGCCTCTGTGGGGAGTTGTGGTTACAATGTGTTCTGGCACCACGGACATCCTGTGCTCTCCATTTTGTCTGGCGTACAGCCCGCAGAACAAGCTACCACTTAAAACCAGTTCTTTAAATTTTTCAGTGTTATGTAATATAATGCAAGTCACAATAGTTGGGGAATGATGCACCTTCGGGGGGGGGGGGAAGTAAGAAACAGAAATGTTCTCTTCAACACAGCTCTACTTGGAATTATCAGGCAAGACATGAGGATGTTTGAGCTTTGCATTTTTTATTTTTTATTCCATCACTCTCATATAAGCCGTGTCTTATTACCTTGGTTTCGGAGGAATGCACAGGTTAACATAATCCGTATTTTTGCCATGATGTAATTTCACACCTCTTACAAACAGAGGCACTGACTCTAAGCATTAGCTAATCCAGCATCCGGCCAACCTGGAGTTGTTCAATAGATTTTGTTGATGTTAATGTTTTTTAATGTGTTGTGTGAAGTTCCCTCAAAATTCTAACTGTGATCTCCTGAGTTCTAAACTGTTTGGAAAGCAGTTTGTGAAAGTCTTTTAGCAGTTTCTTGTTTGTTTACGATCTTTAAAACTTAAGGATAAAAAAAAATAGAAATGACAATAATCTTTTTTTTTTTTAAAGAACTACACCCAACTTTCCTTCCACCTGCACTAGCTTCTAAACCATCCAGCTGTACCAATGAATGTCTCGTCTTCTTTCCTCGACAGAGAGCCAGGGGACAATCAGCAGCATCAGTTGGCGGGGGCTATCGGTGTATCAATCTGTCAGGCCATGATGGAGTACAACCAGGGCAACTACAATCGAAGCATGGAATTACTTTACCCGTTGCGCTACCGCATGGTGGAGATTGGTGGCAGTGATGCACAGGTAAGGTCCCCAGGAATAATAGGAGGTAACTGTGGTAAAAATCAAGTCCAAACCAAACTGCGGTTCTCTTACGTATGCACAGTCGAAAAGCGTAGCGCCTTGAGGCTTCACTTCTTTCTCTTTAGATAACGTTGATCATACTGTGTTGTGTTCTCTTGTAAAACACAAATCCCTGTTGTTGTGAAATAGGCCAGAGGTGAATAACACTCAGCCTTTCCGTCCATGAACATACAACAAAGTGTGTGAGAATGCGGAGCCCAGTGCATTGACATATGAATAATGAATCTGTGATGGATGCTGATGGACTTCATGCATTTTATGTTCTGTGTGTTCAGAGAACTATTCCCCAAGGTGCAAAAGTGTACATGCATACAGTACAACGCAGAAGGGAAGAACGACTCTATATACAGTGTTGGAGCAGCAGGAGTATGTTTACTAATGGTTTTGTCCACTGTTGTTCTCAGAGGGATGTCTTCAATCAACTGCTCATTCATGCAGCCATGAAGTCTGAGAATAAGCACCATCAGAAGCTGGGAAGGTAATGCACAGCAGGGAACACAGTGCTTCAATCTTCTGTTTCCTCAGTGCCGGGCGTCTTTGTGAAAGTCTGCTAAGAGTTTATGGGAGAAAGATCTTGCACTATTTGAAGCACTGGAGTTCATCATGATCCAGTATAGTTTATGTTGGGGCTGAAGCTGTCCACTCAAGTTCCCCCTCAGTTGCCGTCTTTGCAGAACACAGGCTGTATGCAACCCACATCCGCTTGTCTGTACACCATGTTAGACTTGTATTATTGATCGGGTTAGCCTCTCAGCTTGTCTCTGTAAATCTGTGTTTAAAACCTCATACTGTTCTGTGTTGTGCTGAATATCTGCAGATGTCTTCTGGTGGAGCGCGATGCCATGAAGCCCAACTCCCCTCTGACGGATCGTCTGATGCAGAGAGCGCTGGCTCTTCACAACTAGACCGATCAGAGCGGTTCTCGTGCTAATAACGTCAACACCATAATGTGAAGTGTTTACATACAACTTGATACAGCACTTCTTTCAATGCTCTTTTAGATGCAGACCTTTTTAAGCTTTGTAAGTGAACACATTTATACTTCTGATCAATATAGAGCAGTGTAACTGTCACATTTCAATATAAATACTTTGGAATACAATCAATACAGAATGAATATACACTTTGAATTTTGCATGTGATGACATTAAAGTGCACTACACTTTTGTAGGCACGTTAAAATAAGAAATGTATTCGATGTCGCAGTGATACAGTAGCAATAAAAAAAAAGATGCCCTTGCACATGTCAAACGAGTACCGCAAGTTCTTTTCGTCCCGTCTCTTCCCCCCCGCGCGGCGGGCCGCTCTCACAACACTGAGGTAATCTCATCTTGGATCTGAGAGATCAGGATCTGGGTCAGCACGACGCCTGCAATCTAGAGGACAGTAGCAGCCACTTTAGATTACAGACCAGACTCGCTGCGACTGTGCAGCCTGTGCCGAGCAGCTCAAGGTCCAAACGAACAGTTTGTAAATGAGATAACAATGTCTGGATTGTGTCACTTGAATTCACCGTATAGTCGTATAAACTGGATTATAACACTGTATCACAAAGTGCTTCTCTCAGCGAGAACACACACATTCAGGGGCAAAGCTCAATGATTAACAGTGTGATTTAAACGTGGTATGTTATGCAGACAAATCCAAGCAATCGTGTGTATAGTTAAGATGTGCAAGACCAAAAAGAGAACTTCATAATCACATTCCCTTGCACGTCAAAGCAAACTGGAATACTAGTGCAATTGTTTTGACAGGACTCATGGGTAATTCACATGCTTCCCTCTTAGCAGAATCTTTGGGGACCCAATCAGCCAGAGATGAGAGTGAGACAGATCAGGCAAAAAGATCCAGTGGCAAAGCTGCATGCTGTGGCAGAATGCAATGTGACAGCAGCTGAATCGTTTTTTGATAAGTAAGCGTACTAATTATTTAGAGGCAGCTTTTGATAAGTGCTTAGTTGATTTCATGGCCAATCTAACATTTTGACTTGACTTATTAACGGTACTTGATGTTGTGCGTTAGGTGTGGTGCGCAGTGGTGCTCGGTGAGTAGGAGGGAATAGTCGGTACGCTTCCGTCTCAGGCACATAAGCTTACATTATCGCACGCAGACTTCTACCTCGGTTGCACATTAACCTGAGCTTTCGGTCTAGAACAGTGTAATAAATGAATAATGGGCAGTTAAAAATTCATTGTCCCGCTGTGCCTAGTTATTGCTGTCTAGGTGTAACCCTCCATTTTAAATCAGTTCTATGCCAGTGGCCTCACATTAACCCTACACCCCCGTTGGTTTCTTTTAGAATAAGAATTTCATTTGATTTTTTTTTTTTTACTTCTGTACAAGGACAGGGTTATTCAATGTGAGACTACCTGCACTTGTGCTGTGTGTGTGTGTGTGTGTGTGTGTGTTCAAGAAAGGTGCAGGGTCCTGCCTGGATTACCTTTTAGCCCTGTCCAAATACACCATGCAAGTCTTCCTTTGAGGGTGCCGGGCCCATCAATATGTTGATTGCTACACTCTCATTTATATTGACTTGTATCTGAGTGTGTGTGTGTGTGTGTGTTTGTGTGTGTGAGAGCTTATTTAAGATGAAACTAGAGCCATTTCTCAGCCAGAATTGCCTGAGGTTGCCAATGGGAAATCCCTGTTTGTCAATTAGTGTGCAGCCTGAATTAAGTGTAGTCATGTGTGGGGTTACCTGAGGCAAGGCCAGGCCCAAGGCGAGAGCCCCCACCAGCAACAGATGAGACTCGATCCACATCACCGCTTTGTCCACACAGCCTACCGGGTAGATCGACTTGTTTGCCTCCAGGTGGCTCATGGTTTGAACCCCAAAACCGCACATAGTGTTGATCACTGTCTGTGTGCCAGATGGACAAAGACGGAGAGAGAGAGAGGGTTTGAGAGATTGTCTTCAGTGTTACTTTTTTTGTCTTGTCTATTAAACCTGAAACAATGGAAATACTGTAGTATTCAGAAGAGACTCTCATAAGCTGCTTTTCCTATCTCTTGTGTTATTTTTGCATTGACATTATATTCACTGTTTTGACAGCAAAGGGAGAGTTCTGCAGATGCTTTTGTTGACTGTAGAGACTTGTGAATAAAGAAGGGGAAAGAAAACCGCAAGATAGCGATACAACCATGTCCGTTTGATGTGACAAGAAAGATTAATCAGTCCCTGAGGCGGCCATGCAGTTACAGGGTATGAACAGCAGGTTGCAGCACTGCAACAGCTCCTCTAGTGTTTAATTAATAGATTTTTCACCCATGTAGAAAAAGGTTGCTGTGATCTGTTTTCCATGTAGCATGATGTATAATCAATATTAGTGTGATTGATCTACATGGACTCTTTTGTTTACTGTCTTCACATAAAATACGAGGATTTTCTTTACTGGTGGCTTGTAAAGCTGTGCTGCTGTATGTCTGCATAGGTTAGACAAGCATTGCAAATGTGTCTTTGTGTGAGTGCAAATGAGTGTATTCATGCATTCACGAGAACAGTATTTACATATATACTGCTTGTGGTCCAGCATGCGTTCTTATCTGCACACATTTAATTTGTTATGCCTGTGGAGGCGGCTGTGAGTGTTGGTTCTGCGAAGAAAAAAATGTAATTAAACCTTTTGAAACATAAATAAATAAATAGTTACTGCCAAACACTCTCTTGAAGGTTGGTCGTGATGCTGTCGACTGCATATCAGACAACATATCAACACTCTATATGTTGAAGATGAGCATTATATACCAGTTGGCTAGCTTTAGCTTGGGCTTGATTTTAGACACTTTACCCTTGATTATTACGTTATTTAGATCTTTTGTTTTGTTGCAAATAACCTCATGGAGCTGGTTCTTAAATTAGACAATCAAAATCAAACACCAGTCATTCATGAAAGCCGCAGATTCTTCACAAGGAAGAAACTGGTTATCAGACCAGTTCTACACGGGACAACTTACTTCAACCAAAGAAACTTCTGTTTTTTACCTTTTTGACATGCTGTACTATGACTTTATATGACTTTTATCAACATATTATACTACGACTTTGTTCGACATGCTATACTTTGGCTTTTTCATGTTTTTTTTTACATACTCTATTATATATTTATATCACAAGACTTATATCAAAGATTATTGACGTCCCATTGACGTTTTAGGACTTTTTCCGGCATGCTATGCTGTGACTTTAAAAAAAACCAATTCAACATACAATACTATGACTTTTTTATAAACTTGTTTGCAAACTATACTATGACAATATTAGGACTTTTTTCAACATGCTACACGATGACAATTTTAAGACTTTTTACAATAGTTTTGAAATACTACACTATGACATTTTTGCGACATACTATACTATGACATTTTTTTTAATATGTCAACATAGTATACTATCACTTTTTTGACATTTTATATTAGGTCCTTTTATTCTTCTACAGTAGCGAGAGTGATGGTTGACTACATGCAGATAACGGCCAAGAGCTGGATTTGAACCCCTGATTCTGCAATAAGGAATATGTATGACTGCACCTGCTCTACCTGGTGAGCTACAGAGTTACTTTGTAAAATAATATCACAAGATCTTATTGCCGTCCCATTGACTTTTTATGACTTTTTTTGGCATGCTATGCTATGACTTTTTAAATAAACATTTTCGACATTCTATACTATGGCTTTTTCATGATTTTTTGACATACTATACTGTGACTTTTTGAGGACTTTTTGCAACATAATATGAATTTTTTCGACAAGCAATATTATGACTTTTTAATGGTTTTTTTCGACACTTTTTTATCACTTTTTTTGACATACTTTGAACACCTGATTCTGCAGATTGGAATTTATTCAACTGCTGCTGCTCTACCTGGTGACAGAAGATTGTCAATATTTTATGATTTTATACTATACGATGACTTTTTTATTAAATACTATAATATGTTTATCTATGGCATACTATACTATTACTTTTTTCGACATGCAATACTATCACTTTTTCTGACTTTTCAACATACTATACTATGACTTTTTTCTGACTTTTGACAACATACTATACTATGACTTTTTTCTGACTTTTTCAACATACTATACTATGACTTTTTTCTGACTTTTGWCAACATACTATACTATGACTTTTTTCTGACTTTTGWCAACATACTATACTATGACTTTTTTTGACTTTTTCAACATATTATACTATGACCTTTTTCTGACTTTTTCAACATACTATACTATGACCTTTTTCTGACTTTTTCAACATACTATACTATGACTTTTTTCTGACTTTTTCAACATACTATACTATGACCTTTTTCTGACTTTTTCAACATACTATACTATGACCTTTTTCTGACTTTTTCAACATACTATACTAAGACTTTAAAAACTTTTTTAACATACTATACTATGACTCTTTACAACATACTATACTATGACTTTTAAAAAATTTTTTTAACATACTATACTATGACTTTTTTCTGACTTTTGACAACATACTATACGATGACTTTTTTCTGACTTTTTCAACATACTATACGATGACTTTTTTCTGACTTTTTCAATATACTATACTATGACTTTTTTCTGACTTTTGACAACCTACTATACTATGTCTTTTTTCTGACTTTTTCAACATACTATAGTTTGACTTTTTTCTGAATTTTGACAACATACTATACTATGACTTTTTGACATAGTATAGTCTGACTTTTTTTGTGACATCCTATCCCATGACTTTTTTTACACACTATGACTTTTTATGAAATACTGTAATATTACAATTGTATGGCATACTATACTGTGACTTATTTTTGCCATCGTATAGAATTATTTTTTGTGACATACAGTACGACTTTTATGACTATAGTATGATCTTTTTATGAGATACTATACGGAGACTCTATAAGACTTTTAGGACATACTGTAGTATTACAATTGTATGACATACTATCGTATGACTTTTTTTTTACTTCTCATCACATACTTTATTATGGCTTTTTATTACATACTCTAGTATAGCTTTTTTATGACTTTTTATGACACACTAAACTATTTTAAGCGATACTTTAATATTAATTTGTAAAGACTTTTTATGTTGACATGCTATCATATGCCTTTTTTACATACTAAATTATGACTTTTTATTACATCCTATTGTATGGCTATTTTATGATATACCATACTGTGACTTCTTTATATATATATATATATATATATGTGTGGACGTGTGTGTGTGTGTTTATGTTAACAGTGATGCAAACTTGCAAGACTTTTATTGGTTCAAGATATTTATCAATTGTAAAAAAATAAATGCTTTGGTGACATACATGATGCCTGATAATCAGGAAATTAACTTGCCATTTCACTTCATTCATTCAGCCTAGAGTTAAAGTTAGCCCTCTTGGGAGGAAAGGTTATTTTGTTTTGCCATAACCAATCAGTAGTTAGTGACATATCTGTCCCATGCCAGGCCTTCTCATTTTCATTTGACACAGAAGCTGCGGTAGTGGCTGCGTGGATCAATTAATAACTTTGTTTCTGCTTTACACATGATTCAAAGAAATATGTTGGTTTAAGAGCTGTTGTCTCTTTAAATCCACTTACAACAACTTGTAAAGCTGCCTTCATCTCATCCATGCTTGTCACCATTTTTCTATCTATATTTGTTATGAATGTACCGTACTAGCCATGTATAAAGATGATGTCCCCAGTCCTAATCCTGCGTAATATGTTCTTGCTGACCACTTCTCTCTTTAACTGTGTGGAAACGGCTTTAAGTGGCCACTACACCAGATTTATTTGAATTTCTGAACAGTTATGGGCAGTTATTCAGAGGTCTGGGACCAGAATAATGTTCTTTGCCTAAAATTGCAGGTAACGCATCTGTTCACAAGCTATTACTTCCCCAATTCCCTTTAGATGGCGCACATGAGCAAATCTACATTTGCAATTCTCTTTCATTGTATCCTAACATCTCACTCGAAGAACTGAGATTTGGAAAACTGTTGCAGTTATATACTTTTATTGTCTGTAAGTGGCAAAGGTCCAAGTCCCCAAGAAATCCTCCGTCACAGGATTAAATGATGACAGGCCCGTCGCCCTGACGTCTGTGGTAATGAAATCCTTTGAGAGACTGGTGTTGACCCATCTGAAGGACATCACAGGACCCCCTGCTGGACCCCCTGCAGTTTGCCTACCTTGCAAACAGGTCGGTGGATGAAGCAGTCAAGATGGGACTGCACTACATGCTGCAACACCTCGACTCCCCAGGGACATACATATGCAAGGGTTCTGTTCGTGGACTTCAGCTCAGCATTCAGCACCATCATCCCAGCAATACTCCAACCCAAACTCTCCCAGCTCACTGTGCCAGCCTCCACCTGTCAGTGGATCACAAACTTCCTGACTGACAGGATGCAGCAGCTGAGGTTGGGAAAAATCACATCCAGTACTCGGACTATCAGCACTGGCGCCCCTCAGGGGTGTGTGCTCTCCCCACTGCTCTTCTCCCTCTACACCAATGACTGCACCTCAGAGGACCCATCTGTTAAACTCCTGAAGTTCGCAGACGACACAACGGTCATCGGCCTCATCAGGGACGGTGATGAGTCTGCATACAGACGGGAGGTTGAACAGCTGGTCCTCTGGTGTGGTCAGAACAACCTGGAACTGAAGAAGCTCAAAACTGTGGAGATGACAGTAGACTTCAGGAGGAGCCCCCCAACACTGCCTCCCCCCCTCACCATACTCAACAGCACTGTGTCTGCGGTGGGGAACTTCAGGTTTCTGGGATCCACAATCTCCCAGGACCTGAAGTGGGCCCCCAACATCGACACCATCCGGAAAAAAGCCCAGCAGAGGCCAGCTTAGGAAGTTCAACCTGCCTCAGGAGCTGCTGATTCTCTGCTCCTCTATCACTGTGGGGTTTGGCAGACTACAACAGACTGTCAGGTCTGCAGAAAAAATCATTGGTGCCAGCCTGCCCTCCATCCAGGACTTGTAACCCTCCAGAGTCAGGAAACGGGCAGGAACGATCACTGCAGACCCCTCACACCCTGGACACAAGCTGTTCCAACTCCTCCCCTCTGATAGATGCCAAAACCACCAGACACAGGAACAGCTGCTTTCCTCTGGCCGTCACTCTGATGAACAATAAATCAGACATACTGCACCACTATCTCTGTTTGCACTATTACCACCACTTGCACTATCACCTCAATTTCATTGCCATTGTAGTTTATAGGTTTCTGTTCATATATATATATAGTTTTTGGATATATATTTATACTTATTGTACATAGTTGTTAAATGTTTATACATCTGTTCTACTTTTTTTCCCTGTTGCGCCTGTACACATACATGGCCTATAAAGCTGATTCTGATTTTTATTCTATCATTTCAGTGGATGCTGCTGAGCCACAGCACACGGCATTAGTACAAACTCGATTTTGAAATGAAGTAAATCTAAGTTTTTACACCGAGCACCTTGCTTCACATTCAACCTAATCTGAGTCTTCTTTATGGGAGTGTTTTATAGTTTAAATTGCTTTGCAGTTAGTGGTTTTCCATGAAGCTTTTAGCTAGTGAGTTTTTTTGTCCACACATTGTATGTCATGAGGCTACACCAAGAAACACACACCTCTCCAGGAACAGGACTGCAGCAGGAATAAGGCACAGCACAGCGCTCGGAGCTGGGGTTCTCATGTGTACAATTAAAGTACAGGTTCCAAGACCAGTCTGTGTAGTTGTTCCACCCACAACACTTGAACTGAGTGAAAAAAGAGAGACAAAGAGAGGGAGAGGAGAGCACAGCAGGTTTATATTTAGAACCGTGGTCTTGCTGTGAACTATACATCCTGCCAGTCTGGGCTTCTCCCATGGGAAAACCCAGGCCCACAAGTGTGCCAGTGTGTGCAGATGGAAGAGGAATATCACATGAGGAGACCCGTAGAGTACAGGAACTGTGAGTAACATGTAGCCACTCATGTGGAAATCCCTCACCAAAGCCAAAATAACAAACATAAGTCATACAGCTTTGTGGGTTTTTGTTGTGGTTTCCTGGTCAATAAACCACTAGCTGTGATCAACTTAAAGACTTATGTGATGTGGATAGCTATACACACACACACACACACAGACACAGCCACTCTGGGCTCAAGTGGAATTGACCAGAACACCTCTTTCTGGATGTAATCCATCAGGTTCTGCAGATCCAGGTCATCCCTGTAGTGCACGATGGCTTTCTTCACAAACTTTCCCAAAGCATCCCGAGTCTAAGAGAGGGGACATGTGGGAGTTTATACACAGGATAATAGCTATAAAGGTATCACATGAAGTCATTTTCTTAGTTACTGTTTGTAAATAGAGCATACAAACTTCCCCCCTCCTCTCCAGCTTTACCAGCGAGAGAGGGAGCGCAAAGGTGGACGAGCAAGCTGGAGAATGAATGAAGAGAGGGATGGCAGTAGTGAGTAAAAAGCCGTGAATCAGAAGAATAAAACTTTATTTCCTGATTGTTTCAGTTACTTTCTAAAGCACACATAAACACATCCATACCTCCTCACAAACCTGCAGAAGGGTGCCTTATTTTTAATGAATGCAGCCCAAGGCACGTTTTTTTCCTGCTGTCTGCTCTCCAAGTGCCTTCACTGACAGTCTGACATAGCACCACATAGCAGAGACAGGTAAAAGAAAGAAGCACATAAAACATGCAGCGACGTAACATGCTCAAGAGCGTCGCATACCTTGAGCCTCACTGCACCGAGGTGCGTGACAAAGTGGCGGTGTTTGACCTTTGAATGTGAATGGGCTGCACACATTGGCTGGGGGTTACACACCCATGGGGGACCAAAATAGTCTTTGCTGACGTCTCACCCAGAGACGTCGCTACCACAGCAAAATAAAGAAGATAAAACAAAACAGGCGGGGAAGGTCTCTGTACATACAGACACCGCCACACAAGTGTGTGCAATAAGTCTATGCATTGTTTTTAGGAAACTAGCATTATATACCTTTAATAACAACATTGCTATCTTCTAAATACGTTGAAATTGCCAGTGGTGAACTTATCGACAAATGTCTCTTTAACCAGGCAACTATGGTGCTCAGTGAGCGGTGAACTTCTCAGGTTGTTGGGCTCCCTGAATCACTCGGGCTGCATCTATGGAGGATTGCAAAGTGCCTTCTCTTGACACGTCCTATGGACAGACGCTGTGGAAATCCTCACTCAACTAAAAATGGATCATATCTGGGATCATTTGAAATCTTTGAGGCTTTGTTTCTATTTGATCTACTTTTACCTTTATTGTTAAATTCATTGTACAGCATTTATGTTGCATTGCACCGCATATGTATTCTTTATAAAAGGCCACCAAGGGACACATTTTACAAATGAACTTTTAGGCTATAAACGCTATGATATGCGGTGTTGGTCTCTCCCTGGAATGTTCTATGTTCATGTATCTGCCCACGTAAAAATAAACATAAATAATACTCATATATATAAATATATGAGGGGGACACATAACCTCCTCTTGTGTGCATTGTATGAGCATCCTGCGGGATGTATCTCAACAATATGGCAGCAGAGCAGGAACTGCTGCCGTGTGATGGCTGGAGTGCAATATAATGCTAATAATAAAAATGATTCATGCCTTTGAGCTCAATGTACACGACACACACCAAATACAGAGCGCACACACACAGGTTTTATGTTGTTTCAGCTGCAGTAGATAATTGGTTGAATTTGCCCATTTGGAAATTGTCATCAGCTCCACTTGAGCTGAATAAAGAAAGCCCGCATGAAATATGAATTAAAACCATTGATTTGTTTGAATAATCTGTAATGAGGATTTTAAACTCGATACGGTTGATTCAGACATTAAAATTGTGTGTGACCGTATTTTGTTAGCTTTCATTGCCCATGATATTATTTTCATTTTATTTAGTTTTTATATCCTCACATATAAATATATTTAAAAATGTATTTAATACAAATCTCCATCCGTTAGAAATCTCAAAACAGGGGGGGCCATGGTTACACAGACTTGAGGTCAGATGTAATATATGCTAATAGGAGCACTGTATGCTAATGTACACTGAACTTTAAAATGTCATTAGGCCTGAAATGAACTTCTGAAAGCAGTTTGCTGAAGGCTCTCGGAATTGTTCTTGTTATAGCCAACGTTAGAACAGGTTATGTTGATAAATACTGTGAGCTGTATCAAATTAGCCCAAAATATCAAAATCTTCATCCTGAAGTAGTTTTACTAAATTGTGTTAGTATTTTGACGGTGTTTCCCCACCCTCGCCCTGCACTCCCCTCTCCTTCTGTCTCTCCATGTGGTGCAGAATGCTCGTGGGCCTCGGTTCCCACCGTCACACCTCCCCATGTCATTAGTGGCAAAGTCTCCTTCAAGGGATCTGCTGAAATGGAACATTTTCTTCCACTTTGAAGTGCCGAAGCATTTGAATCATTTAGCGAGGAAGGATGTTGAGAGGGTTGTTAAACTGCTCTGTTTAGCAGCAGGCAGTCCGAGCGCTGACAGGGAACACAAGGGAGAGGAGAGGTGTCATCAGGCACCCGGCACCTGGGCACACATCGGTGTCAGAGAATGTTGCCGCTGCTGGCTCTTATGTATTTATTCTCAATGGAGCCCTAATAGGATGTTAATGTAAAGGAGATAAGTTGATGCTAAATCAATTGCTGGGATCATATGCGGTGCTCAGATGGATACAAACATATACATACATGCACGCAGTCATTGAGAGGATTGCCTGTTCTCATACAGACACAGGCATTATTATTCAATGATCGGAACAAGGGGTTATAAAAATATTGGGTTTTTTTCAATGGACAGAAAAAAAGAATCCTTCACACACAATTATATTTATTCTCTAAACTATGTTGTCCTTGTTAAAGTATGTAAAATTGATCCTCTCGAGGCTCTAAAACTCATTCCGATGAAACAATCTGAGAATCCAATATCGTCTTGTATTTCCTAATTCCATAATACATAATAATTGCATACAAATATCTACTGTTTATGTGTGCCAGAATTAAACACACTAGCATTTTATGCTTACAGGAAATGATGCAGTATAGGGTCGTACGTCAGTACATTGCATTGTGTACATCAATCTTAATGCTGTATTTAAAATTCAAAGCATTAATATAGCAGCAAACAAATATTTTCTATATAAACATATAGTAATGTCTACCTGAGCAGAGAATGAAGTCACTCTTCTCCTTGCTTTGTTGACATAGCTGGGCCACCCAGTGCATGTTAGTACATGGGAGCGTGCCCCACTGGTTAGCCCCGCTGCGGCCACGTTGCACTGCTCATACTGAGGTTGCAGCTGATCATAGGCTCGTTGGAGATGAGCCTCTGATCCAAATTGTCTGTGTGATTGTAATATTTAACGCTCGATTGTTGGCTGTTGGAAAGAGAGCCGTTGAGAGTCAATTGAAATGCTCCCAATCTCGGATCTTGACCCTTTAACAATTTTGCTGCATAATAAATTTGCACATGAGACAAATCTAAACGTCCGAATTTGGGACACAGCTTTAGTCTTTTCTAGTTCATACATATTACATGCTTAATAAGTGTTTAGAATTAAAATTTATATGTAGTACATTTGTGAGATTGAGAGACTAATATACATGCAAGCTGTTAGGAATAATGGGAAGTGATAAGATATTATTGATACCAGTGTCATTATCGATTCTGCTTATTCGTCAGATTCTTTATCAATTACCTTATTGATGGAAAATAGAGTAGGCTTCACCAGCGAAGCTGTTTTGTTATCTCTGAGTCTGAACACAGTGTAGAATGTCAGCCTAATGCCTAACATTTCAACGTGTTCAAATAAAGGGATCAGAGACCACGTACCTCAGAAAAGCACCCCCTCGCCTGAACATTGCCGGGACATTGCTTTTAACATGTTGAATCAAAAATAAACGCATCTAAAAAGTCTGTAATGGGATAATCCCTAATATCAGAGAAAAGAATGTGCATGTACAGCGATGGCATGTGCAGTGGGTCAAAGATGTTAATGATGACAGTATACAGTAGGTAGTAATTGTAGGTTAGAGGGTCTGATCATCTGACTGCTTTTGTTTCTTGCCTCGTCTTGAGTACACTGTTCTTTGATGGTCAAAAGTATGAAAATAAGGCCTAAATTTGAATAAACTGGAATTATATTGAGAGTATTTCGCAGTCAAGTGGATTGACGTCAGTGCATCCTGAGATAATTGTGATGCTTTCCTCTCCTTTCTGGCTGTCTTCAAAACAAACCTGAGACACACACACATTCTCAGGACTTATAGACAGCAATACAAACACTGAGTTCCACTGTAGTGCTGGTGCCTCTGTGTTTTTCTTTGTCCGTATGCTGTGTGGCTCTGACATTGACAAGACAGTCCCCCTGTGGGCTCAGTGGGCCAATCTGTGGGCTCAGATGGTATGCCTTGTTAAGTTTACTACATTGTCGTTTACAAATGCACAGAATGTCCAAAAGCTGGGGAAGAATACACTAAACCACAGGAGCTCAGGGGTATTGATGGTCGATAGTGGAAGAGAACTGGAGACCAGATGTGACCTTATAGTGACTTTATATGTTCGAATATAATCTAGTGCACAGAGTTGTCAGATGAGTACCTGGTCAGAGTAGAAGAAGCCCAGAACTGCTACGGCAAGCTGAGTGAGGAAGACCAATGTCAGACTGAAGGAGAACTAGAGTAAGAAAAGAAACATATACATTTTAAAACACAGTTTGACTAATACAGAATCATAACTGTCAGATTTGTTGTTGCACAAGATATGTAAGACTTGGCTTTGGATTAAACGGAATTTGAGCTACGATATCGGAAGCAAAGCACAGTGCCAGTACTAGTTATGTGTCTATTACTGTCTTGAGGAGGCGAATGTTCTCTCGCAGGGCTCCGATGCAACCACAGAAAGTGATGAAGAACATGACCACCCCCACCACAATTAGGACGACAGCCGGGTCGATCAGGAACGTGTCCCGCACCGTGTCTGGCAGAAAGACAGGAAAAGACCCTTTTTAATAGTCTATCCTACTCTGTTCCTACCTTCACTTCCTTTCCTGCTTTTATTTCTATTTTTGAAACCTTTATTCATTCTATCTAATTAATCCCCCCCTCCTATTTTACAATCCTCCCTTCCTCCACCGGCTGCATTCATTCTTTTAAAATATTAATGCACTGTTGTGGATTATGCAGACTTAATCAGTTGAGTGAGCCCAGGTAAATCCTTTTTCTGCTGTCCATCTGCTGCATATTGCAAATTGAAATAACTAAACGTATCAAGCGATTGCTTTGTGTCAGCCTGGCTCAACAGGTGTGCAGCTAAAAGAGGCCGCCATCTCACGCCAGCACAGCTCAAGAGACTGCAATGAATGGAGAAGCAACAGTTTATCACAGGAATAAATCGACATACAGTAAATCTAAAAAAAACTAAAAAGATCATGTTCTATAACTACAACACAGGGTAATAGACTATTTCTGAAGAGTGTGGAAAAGTGCCACTACGTGCACCTGAATATGTAAAACATGTGTCATGTATGTACCTGTAGCTTTCTGGACTTGAGCATACACCCCGATGGCAACAATCAACAAGGAGCAAACCTGGGAAAAAGAGATTAATTGTAAAATGCTGTAATAACTGCTCATTGGCGAGTGTTCTGCCTAGTTAGACATGTTTTGGATATACGCTTATTATTAAGATATAAAAGATAGATGAACTCTCATCTCTATCAGCTCATGTGGCTCTGTCAAAAGGTAGAAAAAAAAAGACCTGCCAACTCCGCTACAGCTGTGTTTCTCTAATTTCTCTTTCCTCCTACGACTTCATGTTAACCTAAGCTTACAGTCTGCTGGCTTTAATTCCAATTCAACGAACACATAACAGTGGAATCAATCTTCTCTGCTCACTCTCTAAAGGGATTTACATAATTCCCTAAAACTCACACTATTCCCTAAAAGTTTACCACATCCATCTTTTACTTAATTATCCATTGAAACATCTAGAGAACGCACCAGTTATCGATGTTTCATTCTTCTGGGTGTATTCTTTATTTGGACGTGTGAAAAGTTGCGAGGACAATATAGTGCTTCTATTGAGCGGGCTTTGTTTTGAACAGACTTTATTTGCACTTTTGCAGGTGTGATCAGATTAGCAACGATAAGCCCTTTCCTCAGGTGCTAAGTGTGCAGAGCTGTGGTGGTGGCGACAGCATCAGTTTATGTCTTTACCATAAACAGACAGATGGAAGTCAGCGGGAAAACAAAATAACGAAACATATGGAGCTTGGCTTTAATCATCTGATTTTGTATAGCGTCAATGTGGAACATCAAAGTAGAGAAGTAGTGTTTCTGACAAACTCAGTCCATCTTCAGAATTTAAAACTCCTTTCTTCAGTTTCTCCATGAGAGTATTTCTGCATGAATCTTTGCAGACGGCCTTGTGTGTGTGTGTGTGTGTGTGTGTGTGTGTGTGTGTGTGTGTGTGTGTGTGTGTGTGT